CTGCAACAGCGTTGAAAAATAAACGTGTACAATAAACTATTGATCTCGACTGAACATTAATTTTTCAATTTCAGTGCACAAAAAATATAGCATGGTAAATAAAGAAACGAATATATTGTTTTAAAAGCATTGTTAAGCAACAAACTACTTACATGTCATTTCAACTTTTAAGAATTTGTGAATCAAACAAAACAATATGGCTGAATTGCGAATAGTGCATACCTTCATCAGACGGCACCGCGGTGTCGGCTGCAAATAGAATTAGACGCTGCCACTAGGCTGTAGTTGAAACTAAAAGAAAAGTCAAAGTGAGACACCATGAAAAGGTCTTCGTGCCAACATTAGAAAAGGCAAAAATTAGACAATACCAAATTGTTAAGGGCGAGCCTCGTAAGTCTGGTTCCGGCATTGCTGCAAGTGCTATTGGGACAAAAAATACGGTCCTGCAACAATATGCTCAAAATTAATATGTCTCATCTACTTTGTCTATATTAAGTTTCAAAAACATGCGCTAATTTCTTCTAGGATCATCGAGGGGACATACAAATATTTAACACAGGTATTTTTGGCGCAGCAGCAGCTAGATAAATATAGATTTGGTTGACATATTAAAATACTTAACACTTTTGTCAAAACTTTATGCATAAAGTAAATAAAAAAGACTCGCTGGCATCAAATATAACTATTCTTTCTTTATTTATTTTATTCTTTATTTATTCACAGCTTGTGTATGTGTGTATCAAAAATTACTTAATACAACAAAAACTTATTGAGGTTGAATAGGTTCGCCTAATCATAATTTTCACTTAGAATCCTATTGCGACTATAACCGAGATCGTCAGCACAGAAATATTATGGTAAATACAGCTGTAGTCATTACAGTACTGCAAGTATAAAAAAAAACTTATTTCAAGACTTACCTCTGTTTTAAATGTTATATAATTTCCTATTTAGTTACACACGTTTCAAGAATAATCTCTGTTTTATAAATGAAATAAAATAGCATAACATTATTTGTCATAGCATAAGAGTTGAATAAAATTATAATATGCGAGCCTCTGGCGAGCATAGAATTATTTTAGCATAAGAGTTGAATAAAATTATAATATGCGAGCTTCTGGCGAGCATAGAATTATTTTAGCATAAGAGTTGGATAAAATCATAATATGCGAGCCTCTGGCGAGCATAGAATTATTTCATTTAACAGTTCAAGAAATTTAGTTTATGATCGTACACGAATATAAAATTCTATTCATCACATATCTAAAATCAGAACTGTTAGCGGTAAAAAAAGAAGCGCTTATAGCGATACGTTATCATTTAACGCTATTTTTGTATGACGAAAATTACGTTTCGTCAAAATATATGCACATTTTTACGGAGTCGCAAAATCGGTACGGATATGTGTGATAGTGTTCCCTATTTATTTATAAACATTTCATGACTAACCTCTGATTTAAACATTTTAAAGTGACATTATGCTCATCCATGGGTAGATATAGAGTGAACAAATAAGTTACCATTTTTTCGTAATTCCTTTCAATGTTATAATTTACCTCACATGAACGATAAATAACTCACTAGACCCTGTGAAATGTTTGTAATTATCCGTCTGAATGTATTTGTAACTTTAAATTTATAAAAAGAGTGGGGCAGTCTTTTTAAATATTTAGGTAAATGTATTTTTTACCCTAAACATTTTCAAATATCATGTGTTGGTCAATCACCGTTATAACGACTAGTCTATTGAAATATATACAAATGTAGTCAATTAAAGTCAATTTGACAACGAAAAAATGAGCATAATGTCACTTTAAGTCGAAGGTAAGATATATAAACTAATTTCAAGACTTACCTCTGTTTTAACTCTATCAATATTTCAGAAGCAGTAAATTAAAAATTGTGTTGTATACAATCGCAATGTAACCTACATAAACATAAACAATAAATATACTTGATGTTTCAACATCTCCGTATAAATATAGTAAAATAACAGTGGATATGTAATAGTTTACAGGTTATTCTGGGGTATTATATTATATTATTTCATATTATATCATATATAATAAAACAAAACTTTGTTTTCAGTAGAACACCACGTGACAATTGACATTGCGCCGCCTGTCAATCAAGCTGGCAGGAGTCTTACAGATAAGCCAATCAGCGATCGTTATCAGTTTCACGCTAAAATGTCTGAGAAGTCCGCCATTTTCCTTAGACAAGCTATTTGTATAAGACAATGGTGCAGCAGTATTTATATTGAAATTATTTTGATTTTTTTTTTGTAAATTTAAAGCTATTACAGCGGTATATCTAAGTTACAAAATATCCTGACAGATTGACAGATGGAGTCAGTTAGTTCATTTTACAAAAAACAAAAATATCAGTAACTTTCTATATATGAAGATAATAAGTTATATAGCTGAGGTACGAAAGTAAAAACTGGCTATACCACATTGCAATAAACAAGGAAAAAGTTTAAACAAATACTCTATTCCTTCCTTCATTACAATTATGTCTATTCATAATCACATATATTATAAGGTCTCAGGATATCAAGATGATATGACATTTTTGATCGTTTACAACATAGTGTTAATAAAATGCTGCAGTAGAAAAAAAGCACTTGCAAATAAAATGAGAAAATATGCAATAAATATTTTAGGTGAAATTATTCTACCTAAATATTTCTATTAAAGCTCATGTACACAATGAATTCAATACATCTGATTCAAAAATATCATTATCTGATCACGGTTTTAATTCAAAGCCGAGGTCTGGTATATGCGAAACTTATTTTGAAGTGAATACTATAGCGTTTTATCACGAAAACATCTAATGTACGAATATACATATAATATATCATACAACAAAGTTACGCAAGGGCAATTTTCTCATTTAATTTTGACAATTTATGCACAAATGCATTACATATAAGTGTTTTCGCACATAAAACCACAAAAAATGTAAATGTTACTGTTTCATTGATTTGTAGGATTTATTTCATTTGTGAGTTTAAAATTTTTTAATGTTTGATATTTGCTGATTATTTAAGAAATAACATCGGCCTGAGAGGTGTATATCGGCTATTTAACACCGGTTTGGAGTTTTGATGCGTAAGAATTGACCACGAAGGCCGTAGGTGAGATATTATTTCGGTATTGTATGAAAAGAAAACATTATAAGAACTGAAAATAAAAATGAGAATGCTTTATATTGTTGCTTTAAAAGGTTTTGTAAACTATATAATCCAGGGTGAAAACATAACAGCCGCATATACAAGTAGTCCCTAACCAGTGTTTATTGGCAGTTTAACACCGGGTTTTTCCTTCTTTCTCTATAGTGACAAAATCACTCCTTCTTTCTCTATAGTGACAAAATCACGCGGAGTGTTAGAATTATTATTTAAAGATTAAATGTGTAGTTTTTTTGTGTACCGCCCACGCCTCTATACCTATAATGTTTCAAAATTGACCAATATTGTTAAACATTCTTCAACATGTATGGACATCTACCCCCGAATCCAACTTCTTTTAATAATAAGATGTTCAAATAAATAAAAATCGATGGTTACCTTTTTCAAGTTGCTCCGTTGCATGTCCCTATTATTATAATTATATTGATATAACAGTTATTGTATACTCTTGTTTCTATAGTGAAAACACCGAGAGTTAAATTTTAAAGTTTGTTTTGTTTTTTTGTAACTTTTATGTAACTATATGTCTTGACCATATTTAGTATGTTGTAAATGGTCAAAAGCATTTTATAAATGCCTTTGACCATTTACAACATATACTAAATATGGTCAAGACATATTTGCCAATAAATGAAATGATATAATTTTACTATTATATGTTCCGCTACATCAATTTTAACTATCTTTGAATTTGTAAACTAAAATGATATTTTGTATGAAGTCAGCGAGAAATATAACAAGATCTTTGCCAAACGTTTTATTCATCATTAATGCGTGAATGCAGTTATTTGTTACTTTTTTATATATCAGGCAAATAAATGACAAAATATCAAAATTTATTATATTTACTCAAGTCACGCTAAAATGAAGTTTTTAAAAGTCCCAGCATGTTTTTTTTTCTGGAGAAATATTATATAAAATGTGAGTTTGAAACGTAAATAAATCTACATATGTTGAACAAAATGAAGACGCAGAAAGAATCAACAAGTAGTTTTAAAACAAGTCATTTGACAGTAACAATCCCTGAAAGTTGAAAAAAACATACATTGTGGATATTTTAAGATTGAATCAAGTCCAACTTGCTCATATGACATGTTCTTTTACGTTCCTATAGTTTACTGTGATAACTATCGTAAACTCTTAATGCTCTAACCTGACCCGCGTAGGTCAGGTTAGGAAACCAACATTTTTTACTTTATATGGAGAAAATTTTTGTTCCCTAAACTACTAAGTGTATTCATTTCTACCACATTTATAGAATATTGGATGAAAAATTCAAATCGAAAATATGAAAATTTTGCCTGTGTCTCAGAAACTGAGAAAGTAGTTACCTGTGATAAGCAAGATTAATAGCAAAGAGATAACCTGTACCGCTGCAAAACTGGAAGTATTGTTTTTTGGGGAATTTAACATATATTTCAAACCATTTATTGCTATTCGTCTTCAGACAAATTATAAATGTTATATAAAAATACATTTTATAGTATGACTTGTGCATAACCAAACCATTGGTTCATTTAAACCGACAGAACGTAGGAAGTAACACATTGCGCTATTGTGTAGCCAAGTCTTGTGTTATTAGTGTAACATGGTGTACTTCTTTTTCATTTTTATCACTTTAAATGTTTCCAGCGCATGTGCAAAGAGAGTACCGTTGTAGTAGATTTCGCATGGGCGTAAGTTAGCCTCTAATGTACACAACAACACTGCTGCCCCTGCATACTGTATACTAGTATATATATTTCATTGAAAAAAGTGTACCTTCCTGTGTATAACCCCTAATATACTGAAAATTCAAACAAGATGTTTTTAAACATTTTAATGACATATCAAGGCTTCCAATTTATAACAACATACTAGTAACCAATACATTTAAATTTTCATACAGTGCATAATTATTCTTATTAAACAACCTGAGCACATTGTAATGGTGTAATATGTTGAAAGTTAATGTCAGCTATAACCAGACCCTGTAAATAAAATCAACAATGTCTGTTCGTATATTACAAATGTAACAGCAAAAAGAAGCTAGTTTTTAGTTATTCTTCAACTGAAGCCAAAGCATTCTACTGTTCGTAGGTTTTTAATGATCACTGGCAAGGTAAATCGACTGACTTAAAATTATATAAAGAAAATAGGACAAATGACATAATTTGAACAATATTGAAACAGACCCACTAGACAATAAGTACGCATCAGCCTTTCAGGTTTTATTAAAGACTTTTTAAGTTTCAACAATAAACATACATAAGAAAATCCCATGACATCCTCCAGACAGGACAGATGTTGACCCAAAGACTTTAATATGCAATCATGAAGCAGGGCCACAAGACAAATATTTAAGCTTTAACCATTCGCTTTCCAGAAGACTTTTTCAGATCTTTAAATTTTTACTACATAGATACATTGTGTATATACATCACATAAGAAACTTCTATGTTAACAGTGCATGATAACTGACACCAGTCAGAAAGTGAATATGAACACAGTGTGCTCAAGTAAACAAAACAAAGCTGGCATGGTTACCATAGTAACAAAACATAATATTTAAAATATAGTATTTACACTGTTATCATAATTATGTAGGTATATCAAACTTTTCTCACAATGAAATGAAAAGGCACAAATGTGATACATGTATATACAAAAATACTAGATTCATTTATTGAGATTAAACTGGGGGTTCAAAAAAATGATTTGAGCTGGTGAAATATCAGGTAATTTAATGGTACCCCTTACCAACAATACAAGTATGAGCCTCATGCTTTTCCTGAGAAATATTTTTTTTTTCATTTTATGATAAAGATACATGCTTCCTGACATGTACTTTTATGTGAATTATTGCACTCAACAACATAAACTATTAAAGATACAATTAACAATACAGAATAAACACAATTTAAAGTAAAACTCTTGAAGAAAAAACAAATCCAAAATCATCCTGTTTATGATTACGAAAAAGACAAAATAAAACACAAAATATGCTGGTATTTTACAATATGAACAAGCATTAAAGCATAGGTTCTGTTTTATCTCTTTGTTCCTATTAAGGTGATCGCCAAAAGTGGCAGATTTACACAGGCATATATTCAACTGAACAGAAATTTCCATGTTCCCTCTTTTTGCCCTACATAAACATGAGTTATAACAGATGTTATATATAAAGTAGATACCTGGTTAAAACATTTAAGACTTTAGATCTGAACACAGTATATCATAACAAGAAACAATCATATCATACAACATTGTCTCTAACTGTATAATGGATGACCATTGACGTTTATCTTCATCCGTTTTAAACATACAATTGGACTAACATGTGCATCTTCTAACTTTCTTTTTGAAGGACTTTGTGAAGTTTTCCCTGAATCTATAACACTGTCTCTATATTCTCCTGCATTGTCTATGTCATCACTTTGATTGGAATCTTTCATTGGTATTCCTTTATGTTTTAATTTCTGTCTCACACTGCCTGCAGATGTTGATGCTTCTGGACTTCCCTGCTCTAGAACTTGAAAAAGTAGAAAATGTCATTAAACAAATTAATCAGTTTACTTCTACTGTTTTAAAATTCATAAATTTAAAATTTCACAACATATTTTTTCTTTCACACCAAATAAAAGATTTTTTTATGGACAAATGATAATATTTAACCCATTACTTCATGAGCATTTTGTGAAAAATGGCTGTTTTCATTGAAAAGTCTCCCGTTACAAGTTCAAATTGCTATAATACTATAAAAACTGCTTCAACACTAATCAAACTTGGCACAAATGTTGACTGGACCATTGCCCTTGCAACAACATGCTCAGGCTTACATTTTCTGTTACCATGGCAACGAGGGGACATCTCAAAATTGCCAAAAATCACTATTTTGCGTTGATTTTTTCCAATTGATTTCAAAGTGAAACTTCTCAATGGATTGAGATAGAGTCAAATGCTTTTCAGCGTTGGTTACACGTTACCTTATGATAAAAGATTTTTTTATGGACAAATGATAATATTTAAATGTACATGTAACCTACAACATATCCAAAAACAAAAAATCAACTTTCACAATTAATATGTATTGGTCTCATCTCAGGATGATAAAAGATATATGTACACATAAAATATGCTAAAATAAGCTAAAATAAGCCAAATACTGTGCATTCACTTATATTCGTGGGCATGAAATTTCGTGGTTTTATCAAAATGGGCATTTTCTTGAGTTCTTAAAATCGTGAATTTTCAATTTCTTGTAAAAAATAAAATAAATAACCTAATGCAAAGTAATCTGACACTTAATCGCCACGCATTTTACTTGCCATGTGTACAATAAATTTAATCCTTGCGTCTGGGCATACATTACACAAAAATCGGCGGAAAAGCGCTGATGCATGTTTGTAATATATAGAATAGAGGTTTGTAATAATTATATAGAATAGAGTCATGGCAAGAAGTATATGTTGGGATAAAATTTCGTCGGATCTTAAATTCGTGGATTGACCTACCCACTAAAACCTCGAAAATTCATGCCCCACCAATAATAATGATTTTATAGTATCATTTTTTAAAAACATTAAACCAATAAACTAGTATCATGAAATAAATCACCTTGTTTGCTATTTTTCCATGTAGCTCTGTCATCTGGACTGTCAGTATGTGTCAAACTATTCACTTCAATAGCACACTGATTAAAAGGACAAACTCCAGTAACTTGAAATGCCTGTTTTACTTGTGATGATGACATGTGATCTACAGCTTGCTCTAGAAGGGCGGGAAATCTTGCACTAGTTATAGTTCCATCAGAGAACATAGATTTACATAAAGTACTTATTGAGGTATTCAACGGATGACTTATCTGAAGAAAAAACAATAATTTAAAGACTTAGCTTACTAACTAAACAAACATTAAGGTATTAAAGCATCATACCTTCAGATTCATGCTAATTTCATGAAATATTTGGTGATCTATTTAAACTGTAATGGTGAGAGATTCCGAAAAGGTATCCGTACATTTAACGCGATTAATGATGACAAAAATATTGCAAAATCAGCAGATACATAAACAACATAAATTTTAATGATCTGTTTTCCTGTATGCTTTTAATCACTTCACTTTTTCAAAAGTTTGATTTTCTTGGAAATTTTGTCTCTGGCGCTGCTCAGTTTTAAAATAAACATATACAATAATTCTTACAAAAAGAAGTGAATAAAACAAATATGACTACAGGTTTTAAGTCTAATATAAAACAATGTTTGCACCAAGTTTATGTAACAATTAATTCATAAATCAGCTGTTATGGACAAATGACCATAACAATCAATGATCAGGATCATCTGTCACAGTGAAATTGTGTGTATTGATGATATTCCCATCTTGGCTTATAAAAGGTTAGATGGATGTTCATGTTGTTCCAGTCAAATGTGTACCTCATTTAGTTTTGTTTTGTTTGTTTTCATTTTACGCCTTTTCCCAACAGTATTTCAGTCATAAAGTTTCCTAACCATCGTTCCTGGAGAGTTACACCAGTACTAGACTACCTTCCTACGCGCTAAACTACCAAAGCATCTCCCGGGGATCGAACCTACGCCAGAGAGGTAACTGGATTAGAAGTCATCGACTCAAACCCCTCAACCACGAAGGCGGTTTATCTCATTTAGTAGACAAGCAGAAATCTACTGTCAGACATACCCTATTCAGATCAAAGTTACCTCTCATGGTGAAAGACATACTGTCTGCTCCAAACTCCTGAACCAATGGAAGGATATTCATAAGACTTAGACAAAAAATATTTTCACCAAAAACTTTGGAATAAGAAAAACTGTTTTCATTTGGGTTTCTCCATTTCATTTCACCTTCAAAAGTAGATTGCCTTGCCTCCAGATCTCTTTTGTTGTTAAGTTGGTTGATTAGATTTTTTAAGTCATTATAAAGGTCAAAAGCGGACATTCCTGTGACCTATTTAATAAATGGTGCCTGCATCTCAATCCAGGCAACATTTATTAAGTCGTAACCTGTTTGTTTTTATTTTAGCACCAGTACTAAAGCCAACCACGAAAGGGGCATTATTACACACATTTTTTTTTTCAAACTGATAACTTTGCAATTATGACTTGTAATAAATGTTGTAATAAATGTTTGAGCGTAACAATATGTGACTACCTTTGCCTCTATAGGGTGCAATATTGATGCAGCGTGAGAAGGGATTCCAACCAAGACAACATCATTTTCTACTGCAGCCTCTATGATTGGTACAGTGAGAAGACTGCACATATTGTTCAGCAGTAAACAGACTGGTCGCATTGATCCACAATTCGGAATAAAACATGTCTGGAACCATTCCAGAAATATCTGGTTGTTAAAACAACCAAATTCTGATGTAGCATAACACATTGCTGATGGAAGTTCACGCAAGTCCTTCATACTTGGTAGCAGTCCCTGAAAACGGAAATGGTGTTATATGGCAAAAAAGACAAATATTCAATCTGATGTAAGCCGCTATTTTTTTTTACCAAGATGATTTAATTTTTTCAATGAATGAACCATCAACAATCACTGTGAATGTTAACATCTTATCTGTTATCATATTTTATATATCAAAATGAAAATGTAAAGGAATAATTTCACAAATGAGAGATGACTGTAATGTATGAGAATGTTTACAAGGAAAAACTTACCTGGAACACCACTGTTGAAGGCCAGAAGCTTCCATCAGCACAAACACAAAGACTTGCTGAAACATGTTTATTTATTGTACTTCTATTTACTTCTTCACCTCCGTCTTTAATTTTCATAAAATCTGTACAATCCCAGTCTACTGTGTGAAAACTATATATCTAAAATAAACAAATGAGATTTGTAATATTGGACTTTAAATGTCAAATCATCTCTGCCAAAAAATCATCAAAATGAATCTTTGTATACATCACTAGAGCGTGAAATTAATAATTTTTAACTCTGATAATGTAAACATGAGTTTCTACATGATGAAAAGTTGGAAAGAGATCTTTCTAGCCTTGGTGACATGATTCAAGTTAGGGTCTAGCTTGGTGACATGATTCAAGTTAGGGTTTAGCATTGGTGACATGATTCAAGTTATGGTCTATTCTTGGTGACATGATTCAAGTTAGGGTTTAGCATTGGTGACATGATTCAAGTTAGGGTCTAACTTGGTGACATGATTCAAGTTAGGGTCTAGCTTGGTGACATGATTCAAGTTAGGGTTTAGCATTGGTGACATGGTTCAAGTTAGCATTGGTGACATGATTCAAGTTAGGGTTAAGCATTGGTGACATGATTCAAGTTAGGGTCTAGCATTGGTGACATGATTCAAGTTAGGGTTTAGCATTGGTGACATGATTCAAGTTAGGATCTAGCTTGGTCACATGATTCAAGTTAGGGTTTAGCATTGGTGACATGATTCAAGTTAGGGCCTATCCTTTGTGACATGATTCAAGTTAGGGTTTAGCATTGGTGACATGATTCAAGCTAGGGCATATCCTTGGTCACATGATTCAAGTTTGGGCCTAGCTTGTTGACATGATTCAAGTTAGGGTTTAGCATTGGTGACATGATTCAAGTAAGTGTTAAGGAAGATGTGTATATTACATATTGACTATAATAAATGTTTGTCTGGTTTTTGGTCATATCTTGGCAGTCTGTGCATCTAAATGAGCTGTGTCATGACAAAACCAACATAATAGGTTTGCGACCAGCATGGATCCAGATAAGCCTGCACATCCGCGCAGTCTGATCAGGATCCATGCTGTTCGCTTACAAATTCTATTACAAGTAGAACAAGAGCTGTCTGTAGGACAGCACGCTCGACTATTCTAAGTGCTTGATAGTAAAAGAGCCTTGATATTGTTAATTTTTTTAAGTTCACAAAAGGGCTAATTTTTTTTTATAAATTCATGTTATAGGCCTTACAGAGAGTCTAATTATACAGAATTGGCTTGACTATTCGGAAGGTAATGTCACAAGGTTTTTTTTATTGAATATAATAATACTAATTACCTATGAATACATAAATTTGACAGAAAAGGTACATTGGCTTGTTATTAAGATGTTTTATCAAGTAAATCACTGCTTTATTATTATGAATGCATAAAATTGTCCCAAAAAAGGCACAAACCCTTCAGTAGTTATTGAGATAACAGCTTACAAGCAAAACTTTACCATGAATTTCTAAGTCGAAAAAGGGGAGAAAAATCAGCCTAAATGCAAGATTGAATTATGGATCTTTGTCAGTGACCTACAATTATGACCCTAAATGCATATGTGAAGTTTTAGATAAATATCTTTAATAGTTATTGAGATATGTAAAACTTGCATGTAAACATTAACCAAGAAACTAAGTAGAAAAGGGGATATGAATCAGCCTTAATGCAAGATAGAGCTATGGAACTTGGTCAGTGACATACAATTATGACCCTCCAATTATGACCCTAAGTGCATGTGTAAAGTTTCAAGTAAATATCTTTGAAGACCGTTAACCTTTAACCAAAATTTCTAAGTTTCAAAGGGGCAAATAATTCTGCAAATATTGCAGACAGAGTTATGCAATTTTGCAAACTGATGTACATTGTTACTATAAATAAGTATTTAAATTTCAATTGAATATCTCAAGCAATAATTGAGATATTTGACTTTACAAAAAAACTTTAACCAAAATTTCTAAGTTCCAAAGGGGGCATAATTCTGTCAATATGGTAGGCAGAGTTATCCAACTTGTCAATCTGATGTACATTGTTACTATAAATAAGTATTGTAAGTTTCAATTGAATATCTCAAGCAATAATTGAGATATTTGACTTTACAAAAAACTTTAACCAAAATTTCTAAGTTAAAAAGGGGCATAATTCTGTCAATATTGTAGGCAGAGTTATCCAACTTGTCAATCTGATGTACCTTGTTACTATAAATAAGTATTGTAAGTTTCAATTGAATATCTCAAGTAATAATTGAGATATTTGACTTTACAAAAAACTTTAACCAACGCAGACGCCGACGCGGACGCTGACGCCGACGCCGACGCCGGGGCGACTACAATAGCTCTCATATTCTTCGAATAGTCGAGCTAAAAACTGATAGCGAACAACATGGATCCTGATCAGACTGCGCAGGCTGGTCTGGATCCATGCTGGTTGCATATGCATAACGTTGGATTTGTCGTGACGCGGCTCATATGATTTTCATAGAGAAATTTAGCCACACAAGAGGATCAAACCAGTGACCCCTGGGTTACAAATATGATGGTATCCCTATAAAGCTAAGTAGGTAGATAATAATATATACATATATTATAATGTTTAAAATTTATGCATGTATACCTGTCCAGGTTTGTCTTTTATTTCATACTTGGTCAATAATTTTTCCAAGTTTGTAAACCAATTAGAAATACATTCTGCAGTTGGAGTGGTTTCTTCTAAAATCATTTGGTGTTTAAGATGAGCAATCTCTGGATGACTAGTGAAGAATTCTTGTACCCAACGACGTGTCAATGCCTGGCTACTTTTTGATTTACGTCCTAAAATAAATTTTGTTACACACATTTTAATTTAGCCGTTTCAAAGACAAATATGTTTATCAAATCTAAATTAATCAGACATGTCAATAAACAATATACATGTGTAGTTAAAATTAAAATACCTTAACGATCATGTACATTATTTTAGACAGGAGAAGGTACCTATATCAAACTATTCTTATCTTGTTTTTTGGGAAGATATATCGATCTCACAAAAATTATTTTGAGGGACCACCAACTTAACCAACATCCACACCTCTAGCTAGAGACGTTATCAGGAACTCTGCATATCTGGGTTTTCCCAGCTAATCAGTAGGTACCAACAAACTTTACCTTTATAGCTTCACTGTGCACTTCCCGTCACAGTAGATAAGTCAACCTGTTGCACTAAGTTTCTAAGCTGTAACTGTTAAAGTTTGTTTGTACCTATGGATTAGCTGGTAAAAACCCAAATACTCTTAATTCCAGAGTTAGTCTATTAAGGCATGTTAACATTCATTCTTTTATCATTTGAAAACAGAACTTACCAAATCTGTGAATAACCTGTTTGACAAATGCACATGTCTTCACCAAGGACATGGGAAATCCGTGCTCTAACATGTACATCACTAAATTCAGCAGAAACTTCTCCTCCATGTAAGTCATCACGCATACATTATCACGCTTTGATATTTTCTGTATCAAGTCTTTCATCACTGACCCCCGATTTACGCCAAGATCAACACCAGATTGTGATAAAGCTACATCTTCTTGCTGTACTTTGACAGGTGACGTTTTAGCACCTTTATGTAAAAACACATATAGAAATTATAGATTCATACCTACATTACTTTTCATATACTTTAAAGATATCTTATACAGTTTGGTACCTTGATTACTTTCAACCACCAAAATCCTGCTGAATTTGATTAATGGATTTGCCCATCTCTGGGACCATCCTTCCCATAATGGATTTGCCCATCTCTGGGACCATCCTTCCCATAATGGATTTGCCCATCTCTGGGACCATCCTTCCCATAATGGATTTGCCCATTTCTGGGACCATCCTTCCCATAATGGATTTGCCCATCTCTGGGACCATCCTTCCCAAAGTGATCAGAGAGCAGACACATGACTCTATGGCAATAGCTAATCACTTTTGGTTATCTGATACACATAACACATGTGTAACTTGACATTAAATGCAAATTACTTTTTTTATCTATTTATTTGGTATGTTTAAGCATATAAACTATTGTTTAATGAATGAGATCCATTAATTTGATATCAAGATTACCTGAATTCTGTATAAGAAAATGTTTATTTTTAAAATCAACTGCTGGCTATATATTGCATGACCCCAACAATAAATGGGTTTACAAAAATATCTCAGTCTAAATAAATGTTAATAATATGTATGACAATTCATTTCAATACAACTATTCACTAAATCTTCAACTTAGGATAAAATTCAGAAAAAGTCACAGATTTATAGATGATGACATTCAATTGTGTTTGGTTAGTAACGATTATACCAAGAAAGGCCTGATTTTTTAATGTGAATGTTTATTCTTATTCTGCTCTTGTCAAAGACCTCATTTCTTAAAATTTACCTCATGTAGTTTATTAACTAAAGATAAAATTGCATTAAGCAATGCATAAATAGATATCAAATTAAACTCTCACCTTGACCTTTTAATACTGTCAATTTTTCAGTTTCTTTAACTTGGCTTATGTCAATTGTTTCTTCACTCTTTTCCATGCTCCTATGAACAACTTCTAACTCTTTCTGAATTACAGGAGTTTCCGGAATTCTCTTAACATTAACCATATTGGGAGTAATGTGGGTCTCAATTCTATTCCTATATTGCCGACCTGATATTTTGCCAGTATTAGCATTTGTGGTATTGTACTGTCTGGTGTTATCCTGAGTGGTGTTATCCTGTTTGGTGTTATCCTGTTTGGTGTTATTCTGTTTGGAGTTATCCTGTTTGGAGTTATCCTGCTTGGTGTTATCTTGCTTGGTGTTATCCTGCTTGGTGTTATCTTGCATGGTGTTATCCTGTCTTGTGTTATCTTGAGTGGAGTTATCTTGCTTGGTAGGATCCTGCCTCGTGTTATATTGTCTGGTATTGTACTGTCTGGTGTTTTCCTGTGTGATAGTGCCTTGTTTGGTGTTATCCTGTGTAGTAGTGCCTTGTCTGGTGTCACTCTGTCTGGATTTGACTTTACTGGTGGCACCCTGTCTGGTGTTTTCCTGTGTGATAGAGCCCTGTCTGGTGTTTTCCTGTGTGATAGTGCCCTGTCTGGTGTTACCCTGTGTGATAGTGCCCTGTCTGGTGTTATCCAGTCTGATAGTGCCCTGTCTGGTGTTATCCCGTCTGATAGTGCCCTGTCTGGCGTTATTCTGTGTGATAGTGCCTTGTTTGGTGTTATCCTGTGTGATAGTGCCTTGTTTGATGTTATCCTGTCTGGATTTGACTTTACTGGTGGCACCCTGTCTGGTGTTATCCTGTGTGATAGTGCCCTGTCTGGTGTTATCCCGTCTGATTGTGCCCTGTCTGGTGTTATCCTGTGTGATAGTGCCTTGTTTGGTGTTACCCTGAGTGATAGTGCCTTGTTTGGTGTTATCCTGTGTGATAGTGCCCTGTCTGGTGTTATTCTGCGTGATAGTGCCCTGTTTGTTGCTATCCTGTCTGGTATTTACTTTACTGGTGGCACCCTGATCGGTGTTTTTTGACAAATTATTCATAAATAAGTAAGTCGTAAAATATGGTACAAAAGGCACTTCTTTTGTATTTCTTGTTTGCCTTTTGTAAAGTGTACTATGTGTATTCTGCATTACAGACTGTTTGGTATTACTGTATGAAACTTTACTTCCAACATGACGCTTAGATATCTGGTCTAAATCAGAAACTGTTTCTGGCAAAACACGACGTGTAACAGGTGACTGTCTTGAAGCTTTTTTCTTGTATGTTTGTAGATATCCTTTCCCATCAGAAACTGCTTTATAGTCTACATTTGTTTGTTTAGCATGCCTTTTAAAGGAAAGTCTTCCATACTTTTTAATTCTATGTGGTGGAATCTTTTTACATTTTACATTTGACCCAGCCTCCTCTTGTCGAGGCAGAACAGTTCCACGCATGGCACAAGCTTGTCTCTTGCCTCTAAGTACTCGAACCATTTCAAACTTGGTATTTGCTTGCGTTTTGCCTCTTTTTGAACCTGTTTTACTTATCTTACTTATTTGTTTTGAATCTTTATATTTTAGCACCACATTTGCTTTTTTATCACGTCTATTCACTGAAGCTGCTTTACAGGTAGAAATTGTTGCCATGTCAGTGTTTGGTCCTTTGACTGTTTTACACATTGTAATTACTTGCGCAGTTTCTTTAGCTGTTGGTAAGACCTTACAAATTGCAGATTCTTTCTGTTTTGAAATGGATTTACTATTTACTGTTGTACTTGAATTTTGTAGTGACATCTGCGGATGTGTTGCACTTGTATGTTGATTGTCTCCTTGTACTGGTACTGTCTGTGTATCATCTACAACAACATTATCATCATCTATAACTATCACATCTGAAGCAGTTTTGCAGCTTAAATTCACACCTTCATCGGTTTCCTGAAAATTTTAACATTCATATTTACAACACTTTTATAACATATTATTTTTTTTTACAAAAAGAAGTTCCTCATTTTCTTTTATGTCATCTTTTCCTACTTAATAATTACAATTTCATCTTTCCCTTTTTTTACATACTCTTCATTAACTAACTCTGAACTTAAATAGTTATTAATTTATTTCTTCTTTAATGACCACTATTATTCTCTCAATAAATAATTACTATTTCATGATCTTTTCTTTTATAATTATTTTCTCATCTAGCCCCATCCAACAATTACTATTTAATGATCTTTTCTTTTATAATTATTATCTTATCTAGCCCCATCAAACATTTACTTGATGGTTCTCAACAGCAGACTGTACCTACAAAATGGTGCTTAACACGTGTATCGGTGACATTTTTAAACATGTGACATTTTTCCTGCTCTTTATAAAGCAGTATATAAATGAGGGTACATTCATTGAAAGAGTAGAGTAATTTTGGATAAGAAACAGTTTGGACATAAAGAACATTAAAATATACTTATTTCAGACTTAAAGCAATACTTTTGGATTATTTGTTATTATTATGTAACAGTCTATAATAGTTAATTTCAATTCAATGATTTATCAAATAAATAAACATGATCATAAAAAGGTGAAATTTGTTCTGTGTTAAAATTATCAAATGTTTGTAGCAGGAAAATGTCTCTTATATCATAGGTAATATTAAAATAAAAATCTACTACAAGTGCCACAGGTCATATTTATCTCATTCAGGCTAATTTCTTCCCTTAACTATCAGCAAATTGTATAACTAATAATATCTTATAAGGAAATTTTGTTGAAAAATCACAAAGGCAAATGATCTAGGGTTGCCAGTTAAGAAAAAGAGCCAGCAAACATAACTTTCCTTCTATTAGCCTCATCACTAAAATTCATATATACATACCTTTCTAAGATCATTTGGGTTTATGTTTTTCCTTGGCACCATTTGGCCAAGTGGGCAAATACCACAGGCACGAAATGCTTCTTGGACACGAGATGGTTTATGCTGTTTAATACCAGCATACATAAACCTTTTTAATTGTTCCATTCGCACTTCAGTATGCCTGCTGAGAATAATACACTTGTTGATATATGTATTTAGTCTTCCAAGAATCTGTTTGAAAAAGAAATACAACAAGAATGTCTTCATTAAAGTATATTATAACATGTTATACAATTTTACAAAAATTATTCTTAGGTCATGTAGCTTTAACAACTATTGTTTCTTTTGATGTTTCACATTTAGTACTGTTGAAGTAATTTAGTGTTTTGTTTGTTTTATTGGGTTTTACGTCACACGGACACAGTATAGGTCATTTGGCAACGTTCCAGCTTTACTGGTGGAGGAAGACCTAAGTGTTTTGTATGAACAGGGTTCGTACAGACATCCAATGCCAAAATTCAAGGACTTTTTAAGCACTATTTAAGCACATTTTCCCATTTTTCAAGCACATTTGTTGCACATACACCGACACAATCTTCAAGTTCAACCTATGATAGATAGTTTGTTCACCATTTTTTGTTAAATACATATTTTCTAACATTATAGAAGAACAACTAAGGGTGCATCAAGTACAGATTAGTTCAAAACAACTGCAATTTGTCCACTTACTGTTACCTTGAGTAAACATTTCATTGATTTTGATACTAAATTGGATCTTTTTTTTATTTTGTTAACAGTTGATTATTATCAAAACTATGTCATTCTGTGATTCAAACATTTTCAAGCACATTTTTAGCAAATTTAAGCACTTTTTAAGCACTTTTCAAGAGAGTAATCAAATTCAAGGACTTTTAAGCACTGTTTTACATTTTTAAGCACTTTTTAAGAAAGAGACTCAAATTTAAGCACTTTTTAAGACTGTACGAACCCTGATAAAAGTCAAAATCCTGCTTTGTTTACATTACACTTACACTGTTACATTGTCCTTAATGACAAATTATTTCACATTCAGCACTGCTTTCTCCCATTGATATGTCTCTTCAATGTTTTAAATCCTAATTAAAACATTATCAAATTCATGTTTGCCCTTTCTCAAGGTAAACAAGATAAAAAATGTTTGTAAAACATGTATGCCCCCTATCAGTATCCAATTAGTCATGTGGCCAGGTTATTGTGACTAGACTTTTGACTTAGTGACCAAAAAATCAATAGCGCTTATCTACTGGTCATGACTAGTCACTAGGTCATTATGACCATGAAGGTTGTGTGCAGCAATTTTATGACAAATTTATCACAAATCTTACCACATAATATATGCATAAATTTTATGACTCATGTAGGCCTCCTTAATGAAACTCAATTTGTTACATTACTTTAGATCTTAAAATGTGTATACCAAAAGCAATTTTTTGATTAATAAAAAATATCAACCAAGGCAACTTGAGCTGTTGAGATGTTGGTCAGAAACTATTTTACGTACAAGGTCAATGTGACTGACCTTTGACCATTAAATCAATAGGGGATATCTACTGGCCAAGACCAATGCACCTAAGCAGTTTGAGGGCCAAGGGCCCAAGGGTTGGCAAGTTATCGATCAGAAACCATTTTTACCTACAAGGTCAATATGACATTGACCTTTGCCCCTTCAATCAATAGGGGTCATCTACTTGCCAAGACAAATGCACCTACAAAGTTTGAGGGCCAACAGCCAAGTCAAGTTATTGATCGGAAATCGTTTTCACCTTAATAGTCAATGTGATTTTGACCTTTGACCCCAAAATCAATAGGGTTCATCTACTGGCCAAGACCAATGCGTCTCTATAATTTGAGGGCCAATGTCCCATGGGTTGTCAAGATATTGATCAGAAACCGTTTTTACCTACAATGGCAATATGACCAAATCCCTTGACCCAAAAACTGATAGGGGTCATCTACAGGCCATGACCAACGCAGCTGTGAAGTTTAAAGGTCGAAGTCCCATGATTTGTTGAGTTATTAATAGGAAACCATTTTGACATTCAAAAGTCAATCTGACCTTGACATTTGACCTCAAGACCCTATAGACAATAGGGGTCATCTTATGGTCATGAACAATTCCCATAAAAGTTTGAAGTTCCTAGGCCTAATTGTTCTTTAGTTATTAATCGCAAACAATTTGGTCTACAGACCCACCAACAGACAAATGCAAAGTAATATTCCCTCACTTCTTTGAAGGGGGCGAAATAAAATATTCATTTCTAAGGCATAATGTGCTTATCAGCAACAAATGATTATTTTTTTTAACAAATTTTTTTTCATCTTGATTAAAAGCATGCATATATAATAGACTCCACATTCTAGAGCATCAAGCATGGCACATCTATTCCAATAACTAAAGTCAATGCCAATATGTTGTGCATCAAATAAGACTTAAATAAAAAAAACACCTTAAAAGATATATCAACAATTTGTAATATTAAAATATAAACATTTATTATCATTTCCTACTAAAATTATGACCATGTACATTTTTTCCTACTTTTTTTAACACAACTGTTTTTATCTTCTTTGCATTTTAAAAAGACACCAAATTTCTTTTCCAATTCTTGGCCCAGGTTTTTTACCCGAACCTATTAGCATGGATCTTACAAACAAACCAAAGGCTTCAAATAATAGATATTAGAAAAATCAGATTCAAACCAAACAATTCTAAACTTAGAAATTCCTTCCGATCTGAAATCCTTCAGCAGTAGAGTAAAAAAAAAAGAGAGCAAAAAAAAGTACTATATTCAAGGTATAGTGAAGAAGACTGAAACTAGAAATATGTCATTGGGACATGGATGCCCCTACATTCCTTTGTTTTCTCAATCTACAAGCAGAAATCATGAGATGTGGACAAAAGGCCTCAATCTTGTTTTACTGAATCATAACTCTAAGCAGAAGTGAAGCATAATTTTGTCACAACTATTTTAAGTTTCATGGATGCTCCTACATTCCTTTGTTTTTTTTCTCAATCTACAAACAGACAGCATGACAAACAGGGAGAAATGCAATAAGCAGGTTGGGCAAAAAACTAAAACTGGAAATTTACCCCAGAAATATCTAACCTGGTCTCCTTATTATAATAATATAGCAGTCATGCTAAAGATTACCTTATTTTTCAATGGTTGTAAAGTTTCAGCAGCATACAGAGGGAATCCAATTAGAACAACTTCGTTTCTGATTGCAGTCTCAAGTAGTTGCACTGATAGGATATCTACACAGTTCACCATTAGAAGACAGACTGGTCTCTCTTTCCCACAATTTTGGAGAAAGTTATTCTTAAACCAGTTCAAGAAAGCCTTACTTTCATTTCTTCTATTTTTGTCATCATTTTTCTTCAATATCTATAGATAAAATAGTCATAGTATACATTACAGAATTTTTCAATTTACAAAGATAAAATGAGAATAAGACATTGAAATACGTATAATGAGAAGAGCTATGCTTTCTTATTCAAAGGATCATTGCTATCCTATTAATGGCAGTTGCATGATAAAATACATAATTTGATTTAACAAGAGGGCCATGATGGCCCTGAAGTTGCTCACCTGTACATGGCCCCCCCACCCCCCAGAGAGGCCAGTTTAAACCCCAGGGCTTTTATTTGAACAAACTTGGTAGACACCCATTAGAAGATGTTTCATGCTAAATATCTAAGCTCTAGGTATTTGAGTTTTTTAAAAGAAGATGTTAAGTTTTTACTATACACATATAATGAAGAACAATGACCCCCTCCTCCCCCCCCCAGGTCCAATTTTTACCGCAGGTTTTTATTGAACAAACTTGGTAGACACTCACTCAATGGTGTTTATTAGTATCTAAACTCTAGCTCTTTAGGTTTCCTAAAAGAAGATTTTTAAGTTTTTACTATACACATATAAATGGAAAAGCAATGATGTCCCCGCCCCCCGGCAGGGCCAATTCTAACCCAAGGGCTTTTACTTGAACAAACTTGGTAGACACCCATTAGAAGATGTTTCATGCTAAATATCTAAGCTCTAGCTCGTTGGGTTTTTTAAAAGAAGATTTTTTAAGTTTTTACTATACACATATAGTTAAAAACAATGTCCCCCGGGGTGAGGCCAATTTTGACTCCAGGGCTTTTATTTGAAAAAACTTTATAGACACTCACTACAAGATGTTTCATGCTTAATATCTAAACTCTAGCTATTTGGGTTTTTTCAAAGAAGATTTTTTAAGTTTTTGCTATATACATATAAGGAAAATCAATGACCCCTGGGGCGGGGCCAATTTTGACCCCAAGGCTCTTATTTGAACAAACTAGGTAGACACCTATTAGAACGTGTTTCATGCTTAATATCTAAACTCGAGCTCTTTGGGTTCTTTAAAAGAAGATTTTTTAAGTTTTTACTATATGCATATAGGGAAAATCAATGACCCCCTGGGAACGGGGCCAATTTTGACCCCAGGCTTTTATTTGGACAAACTTGGTAGGCACCCATTAGAAGATGCTTCATGCTAAATATCTTAGTTCTAGCTCTTTGCGTTCTTTAAAAGAAGATTTTTTAAGTTTTTACTATATGCATACAGGGAAAATCAATGACCCCCTGGGGCAGGGCCAATTTTGACCCCAGGGCTTTTAACTGGACAAACTTGGTAGACATTCACTAGAAGATGTTTCATGCCAAAAATCTTAGCTCTAGCTCTTTGGGTTTTTTAAAAGAAGATATTTAAAGTTTTTTCTTTTGGTTGCCAAGGCAACCAGAGTTCTGCATGGAATTAAATTCTTTGAACAATTTTTAAAGGTGATCACCAAAGGAACATTCCTGTGAAGTTTGGATGAAATTGACATAGTGGTTTATGAGGAGATGTCATTTAAAGTAAAAGTTTATGGACGGACGACTGACGAAAAGTGATCACAAAAGCTCACCCTGTCACTTTGTGACAGGTGAGCTAAAAATAGATATGACTTATTCAAAAAAATAGAACTGTGATAATGTAAGTGCAAACTTAAAATATTTCATAAAATTAACTTTGGAAATGGACTTGACCATCTTTCAATGCAGACAAAACCATTCATCATTTTTAGGAAAAACTACAAAGTATGCACTGATTGAATTACAGGTTAGGAAAAATTGAAGACCATGATCTGGCAGCAGGAATTTGCAGAATAATTTTGGTCTGCACTCATCATATGTGTAGATTTTGTTGCCGTCTGCAGTGTCATGGTTAGAAGAGGCAATATTCAACATTTAACATATTTCAGCAATATTGCAGTCTGCGAAATAACATTTTTAGATCATAGGCCATTTGGGCCTTCAACCCAGGCAGAAGTAAGACAGAATATCACAGGCCCAAAACATTTATTGTGCAAAATAAATATACAATTTATTTTATGTTTTATTCACATCATTAAGGTTCAATTTATTCACAGAAAATCAGCCACTTTTCAATAAAATTCTCATTTTCTGTTCTTATATATACTTAACATTACTCGTCAATCACTTACTGCTTTCCACTTTATTTGTTTAAAATATGAAAACAAATATCAACAAAGGAAGCATTGCATTCAATGAACATATCCTCTAATTAAACACAACCAATCACCTGTTTCACTTCAGATGTTTAAATTAGCCGATTTATGTTTGTTGTTCACAAATCTAAATGGGTCAATCTAAAAATAAATTTATTCTTCAACAGAAATTTACCATAACTTGTTCTTTAACCCGCGAACATTTATGATTATACTCGAGCATTGTCCGTATATTTACACTAACCAATAGCTGTAGATGATGATATAGATTATACATAAATGATTGACATACATTCATTTCGCAAATCTTTTTGGAAGTACATATACAGTGGCGTAGATACTTTTAGGCCATGTAGGCACGGGCCTACAAGTTGGTCAAGAAATTAACATTTTCCAAAAATACAATAAAACATGCGAGAGTGGATTTGGTAGTGAGTTCAAGCCGTATAGTCGAATCAAGTGTGTGCGCATGATTTACCATTCTCAATAAAGTATGCATCTAATCAAATTCATAGTTTAAAATCATTGTTTTGATAATTTTCCATGAACATACTTTAGAACGTGCATTTTGCTCTTTTTAATCTGAACCGGGGGCTAAGCCCCCAGACCCCCTTTTATGTGCCTACAAGTTGAAAAAAGCTGGCTAAGCCCCTGATATACTAATGAAGTACTACACAATTATTTCGGAAAAATATTGAAACTAATTTTATATGAAAACACATTCTGAATTCAAAGGCCCGTCGGGCTTACAATCTTTGGATTTTTACAAGCCCGAATTGGATTTTACCAGCCTCGGGCATCGGGCCTATGCCTTATTTCGCAGACTGAATATTGCTGGTTGTAATCAAAGTAACAAAATTTACCTCCAAGTCTGTGAAATCTGGTAGTAGAAATCTTCCATTGGCACATACACAGATGTGAGTGTGTATGCATTTCAAACCATGTGATCCTTTACGACTACAGCCTTTTTCATCACTATCGCTTGCAAAATTTTCTACCTTTATTTTAAGCTTATCACAACTGAATATCTGAAAACATACATCTTTTCATGTTAAATTCATTTACATGTATATTTAAAACTTAGATACTTTGATAAAGCAGAATGAAAGAAAATTCAATGTTACATAAAAGCCAGACTTAAATTGGCACAGATGCACTAGCTGACTGTTCGACTTGTGAAAAATTTCCAACATCATGATAATTACACTTTGTGTTTTCTTTAAAAACTTTAATAACCCAAAATAAAAAATTATGCACCGTGTCGGATGTTGTCACTGACATTACTTGAAGATTATTTTCATAAAATACTTTATACAAGAAATTGTCAAAACATCCAAAAGAATTTTTTTCTTCATTATTTGTTAGGCTACATGAGATCGAAAATACCAGAGTTTAGCTGTTAATACAGTCCATAATCAAGGCTTTGCACGAAACGATACGAAACAATACATAATGTAAAATAAAATGTAGTTTATGTCTTCAATACCAATAAAAATTTACTTTTCACATCTTTTCTTGAATATTTATATTTCTCAATTGATTGCACAAGTTTGTTGCAAAAGGTAGTTTTGCTATGATTGGCTAAAAAGTTTTTGTTTATGACAATATTCAGTTTACGATTATTCAAACCCATCGATTATTCGAAGTAAATTTTCAGTTCCCAGCACTTTGAATAAACAGGGCTGTTCAGTATATTAAAAAGGTATACTCAGTTTAAAAAGAAAGTATGCACTTAGTACCCTGACCTGAGGTTAAACTTGCGCTCTGCACATCATCTCATTATGGCTTAAATTTCTGCCAAGTAGTTGCAATTTAAAAACATACAAACTGGTCAGATAATTGCTTACAGGAGGATAGAAGACAAGGGGCATAACAATACACGCTGAAATTCTTTCTGGCTTATAAAACGTTAAATTATTCAGTCCAATGAATCTAACTTACCCGATTTGCCTTGTTAAGTACTTCATATTTGGTTAATACTGTCTTCAGTAGATCATACCATTTGGACATATATTCAAATATTTTCTCATTGAAAGGACTGTCATATAAACGTTGCTCTAGTTCTGGATGACCATCAATGAACCTTTTTACTGTCCAAGTGCCAGGTACCTCATACTTTCTTTGCATACCATCTGATATAATATAAACAAGAGGGTCATAATAACACTTAATAGCTAACCCAAGATACTTTGCTGATGCTAAAAAAGTCCTAATTCTATCAATGCAGAGGTAGGTGACATTATTTAAAGATCATGCATGATAAAAGTTTTAATGTACATAGTGAAGTGAACAGCTTGTTAAATTAGATCCTCTGGCATAAATCGTATAACTTTTTCAGAAGTCAACAGGATACTCATAAAAAAATCTTAACTTTCACCAAAGATAATTCAAATGTGCTTTCATATACAGTCTACTATAAACTCAATGTCCCCAAGAGGAGAGTCCTTTTACACATGATTGTGGTCCTTATAGCTTAAACGTTCCAAAATAGTATACCATTCTATTTTATAGTACACCATACTATTTTCACTTATATACGTCCAAACTGGTAATATTTACTACTTTAACCCTAACTTTCCTTATCACTGACAAAGACAATTATGGTACTTGTTTGATTGATTGTTTGTTTGTTTCATTTTACGCCTTTTCCCAACAGTATTTCAGTCATATAGGCGGCAATTATGGTACAGTTTATTACTGATCTTAGATAACTGATGAAATTTATCTACATCCATTTTCATAGCACTGACAATGGAATACATTACTAAGTTTATATATAGTATACTGCACAATAATAATAAATGAGCCGCGTCATGACAAAACCAACATAATGCATAGTCTGATCAGGATCCATGCTGTCCGTTTACAAACCCTATAACAAGTAGAGAAACTGATAGTGAACAGCATGGATCCTGATCAGACTGGGCGAATGCGCAGGCTGGTCTGGATCCATGCTGGTCGCAAACCCATTATGTTGGTTTTGTCGTGACATGGCTCATTAATATTCCCCTATTTACAAGCAACAAGTAATTTTTATTCCCTTAAATATTAGCGTGAACCATTAACTGGTCAAGATTTTATGATAAAACTGTAAATTACATTTCAAATCCTTTGTAAAATTATAGATCAAAGCTATTGTTTTGAAACCATGTTCAGCTGCATATGTGGTAACCTTTAACAGATCTGCCTCAATATCCCCCTTCAGATTAAATCCTTTTGAGGCATCATGGTCATCTTGGTCATCATTGTCTTTTCGAAATTCAAGTTGATGGAGTTTTGGGTTGGCTTTTGGTATACCTGTAGACATTTCTGTCGATGTAGATGCCGTATTAGAGAGGTTCCTCGGACGATATTTATATCCTGAATAAATAATAAATTATTGTCTTACCACAAACTGGGACAAAGTTATGTTTATACCTATAGGATTTATTTTACTCTGCTTAACATATAAAATGGTCATGATAAATCAACAACTAATGACAAGAGAACTACTTACAAATCTGTAAAAAAATGTGTCCTTATTTTCTTATTTATAAGATCATCTCTTATTTCTGCTATAAAATATTGTTGTTATATAAATAGGTTGTTTGCAACTACAAACACAGTCTTAACATTCATGAGCACGATTAACTATTCTAAGTGCTTGATAGTAAGTTCACAAAAGGGCTACTTTTTTTTTACAAATCCATGTTATAGGCCTTGGACGGAGTCCTATTATGATCACAAAGAAGTGTATAAAATTCAATTTGTTTCAAAGCAAGATGTCAATGAAAGCTGAAAATATCTGAGGTGGTATGCAAACTTTAACTTAAATTCAAAGTCGAAAAAAAGGGGCATAATTCTGTCAAAAAACTTGATACAGTTACCTCCTCCTGTCTACAGGTTCGGGTCATGATGGTGAACAAGTGTGCAAAGTTTCAAAGCCATATGTCAATGTACTTTGGAAATATTTAAAGTGGTACGCAAACTTTAACGTAAATTCGAAGTCAAAAAAGGGGCACAATTCCGTCAAAATGCTTGATAGAGTTACCTCCTCCTGTCTACAGGTTCGGGTCATGATGGTGAACAAGTGTGCAAAGTTTCAAAGCCTTTGAAAATATTTTAGTTGTTACAAAAACTTTAAAGTAAATTCAAAGTCGAAAAAGGGGCATAATTCTGTCAAAATGCTTGATACAGTTACCTCCTCCTGTCTACAGGTTGGGGTTTTGATGGTGAACAAGTGTTGAGGTATTACAAAAACTTTAACGAAAGTAGCTATGCCGACACCGACGCTCGGGTGACTAGTATAGCTCTACTTATTCTTATCGTATAATAGAGCTAAAAATGACTTTAAAAGCACTGAAAGTTATAAACAGGCTAAAACCATTAATTTAATAACGGATGTAATGTCAGCCATACAGAAATTCCTTCTAAAAAAATCAATATCTCTCAAAATTAAAAGAGTTTCTGGGAAAGGAAGTGTTTTTGCAAAGAAAAGAAATTTCCTCAGAAGTTCATTATATTTCTACAAGTTAAGGATCTTTTAATGCTGAAATCAGCTCAGCTTTATCTTTTTTTACCTCTACGGCGTTTCCTTGTACGTTTGATCTTTATAGGTTGTTCATTTTCTACTGTCACTTCTCCACTGTTGGCATCGTTACTTTGTAAAGATGCACTTTCTTCCTGACTAACTTTCTCTGTTTCTTTTTCAGGAACTGTGACAAGATTTCTCTCAAATAACTGAAAGATACATGTGCCAATATTTGCAAAAGAATATCTACCAGATATATAAGCAAAATAAAAACTTTATGAAAGAAATTATTTAAACTTTGCAAGACCTTTACTTATGAAAGCTGTAAATAACAGACATATACAGTAGAACTTGTATGAGCCAAACTTCTATGAGCCAAACTTCGATTAGTAGATTTTCTCGATGTGCCGAAGTAAAATGATAGTCCCAATTATATATTAGCTACAAAAAGCTGTATATGATTAAAAATTTTATGTCTCGAATTTTTAGATGTGTAAATTTTTTTTTTTGGTCTGTATAGAATAAGTCAAGTACAATTTACCATAAATATGTCCAAGTTTTTTGGTTATTTTGACACCTTCGATCTCGAGACATTTTTCGAACCTTTTCTGGCCACCAGAATGATTTTTCAATCAACTTATTTGAAAGGTGTTAATTACATAGCTTTGTGTTCTGTTTATTACATAGCTTTGTGTTCCAACAGTCTTTGTATGCTTTCACACGTGTGATAAACTGCTCAGATTGATATCAGACAAATTGCCGTAGTTGCGACCTACTTATGCTTCAGACATGAACCATTTATTTATAAATGTTTGTAGAGGGCTGTCTAGGAATCATTCCTGCAGTTTGGTCAAAATCCACCTTGGTTAAAAAGAATTGCTCATGACGAAAATGACAGATAGTTAACCACATTGTGATAAAAATAACGAAAAAATAAGCCGTTAATCGTTATTTATTTTGGCTTGAAAGGTTTCAGTTATGATATTCTAAGACTGTGGGAAGCTTAAATCACTTTTATTGCACAATTTTCATTCTGCCATCTTCATTATTATGTCTTTGTTTAACTGTAGCAAACACATGAAAATTCAACATACACCGCAATGAATAAAAAATATATATCTTCAAACTTACATTTCGAAGTTTTTTTGGTAGTGGTAAGCTGGGATGCCGAAGAACATCTTCAGCACCTGCTCTTGATTTCTTGCGTATTCTTTTTATTCCAGACCCTGTACTTCTCATAAGATACTTAGTGGATGGAGCAATGTCCATTTTTTGTTTGTTATGAAAACTGTCAATCATAACCTGATGTCTTATCTGTACCTGAGTTAGTTCCTTTATTTCATCAATCATCAATTTCTTTTTTCCCCGTCTTTTTCTTTTGGCTCTACCAAGCAATTCTGCAATAAAAAAAGCCCAATAAACTAAAAAAAATGGGTCAAAGACAGAAAAGGCCGGGTTGCAATTGTACACCAAATATCATGAGGCTGTGATGTTACGAAAAAAATCACCACGGACCATTAATGTTGAAAATTTAACTAAGTCGGTAAACAGGAAGTGGATGAGCTGCAGACCTGAAATCGAATCCCACAGTATGGGACCATGTGTCAATGCTGTATGCCAAATATCAAGTGGCTGTGATTAGTAGTTGCTGAGAAAACTGTTACGAAATTTCCTACCATTCACTATTAATGTCGAAAATTTAACTAAGTAGGTAAACAGGAAGTGGATGAGTGACAGACCTGAAATCAAATCCCACCGTATAAGACCATGTGTAAATGCTGTATGCCAAAGATCAAGAGGCTGTGTTATGTAGTTGCTGAGAAAACTGTTATGAAAATTTCCTACCATTGAGCATTAATGTTGAAAATTTAACTAAGTAGGTTAACAGGAAGTGGATGAGTGACAGACCTGAAATCAAATCCCACCGTATAAGACCATGTGTAAATGCTGTATGCCAAAGATCAAGAGGCTGTGTTATGTAGTTGCTGAGAAAACTGTTATGAAAATTTCCTACCATTGAGCATTAATGTTGAAAATTTAACTAAGTAGGTTAACAGGAAGTGGATGAGCTGCAGACTTGAAATCGAATCCCACGGTATGGGACCATGTGTCAATGCTTTATGCCAAATATCAAGAGGCTGTGATATGTAGTTGCTGAGAAAACTGTTACGAAAATTTCCTATCATTGATCAATAATGTTGAAAAGTTAACTAAGTAGGTAAACAGAAAGTAGATGAGCTGCAGACCTAAAATCAAATACCACGGTATGGGACCATGTGTCAATGCTGTATGCCAAATATCAAGAGGCTGTGATAAGTAGTTGCTGAGAAAACTGTCACAAAAATATTTTCCTCGCCTGCCCACCGCCCAACATTCACCATACTATAACCCAGGTTTGCATCAGTGCAACCCGGCTATTAAAGTACTGTGAAATCATTTAAGTTCTAGGGTATAAAATTTCAAGGTTTGCTGACAAAAAGCATTTTCCTGAGGACAAAAATTCCTGGAAATTTGATAGCCAGGTACAAAAAATACAGGGCTGTAAATCCTTGGAACTCAACATTTGGTAATAAAAAAAAACAAATGACATCTTGGCCTTTGTGCTTCTAAATTGTGACACATACAAGAAAACATTTTCTCTACCGGATCAAACAACTGATCAGTTCAGGTGTTCCTATGGTAGTTAACCTATGATACTTTTTGTATTTTTTATATGTTTATGTTACATGATGCGTCGATATTGTCATTATGAATGATTAGGAATCAAGAAAAATAAATGTTCCGTGCATGGCTGTTGATTTAATTTACAAGTCCTAATATAACCATCCAAGAATCATGAAATTGGGATTGGGTAAAAATACAGCAGACGAAAATTTTGTAGTTAATTTACTATAACAATTTTTTAGTTCCTAAGTAATGATAGTTCACTCAATGTCAGTAAAGTTAAACATTTCAGACAGGAGCCATATAAACCTAGTGACCTAGGTATTGACCCCAGATGACCCATATTTAAACTTGAGCTAGAAATTATCAAAAAACATTTCGTGCAAATTTTCAGGATATTTGGGTTGAAAATATTACCTCTAGGGTGTAAACAAGGTTGTTCTATATTTGGGTTATGTGACCTAGTTTTTGACCCAAGATGTCCTATATTCAAAGATGACCACAAAACAACCTTTGAGACCAATTTCCAGGATTTTTCAACAGAAATATTAGCCATTAGACTTTTCCATATTTGGGCTGAGCGACCTAGCTTTTGATGCAGGGTGACCCATATTCAAACTTGAGCTAGAAATCATCAAAACAACTTTTCTGACCATTTTCTAGAATAATTGGTCTGAAACAGTCACCTCTGGAGTGTTTCTACTATGTTTAGCTCTTTTATCCGATATGAGTTTTATGACCCATTTTCAAACTTGTGCAAGCAATTAATTGGACAAGCATCCTGACCAATTTTGGTGGGAATTGAGGCAAAAAATGTGACCACTAGTGTGTCAACGAAATTACTGTGGACGGACAATGGACATTAAATAATCTAAGCTCACCCTGAGCTACTTCAGGTTAGCAAAAAAATACCCCCCCCCATGATAATGATTTCAAAGCATAACAAGAGCTGTCACAGGAGACAGCCAAGCTCGACTAATAAAATACTGGACGCAGTAAGGAGGACAAAACTATGAAAGAAAAATCAATTGTATCATAGTTTTGAGACCTTTCTGTTGAAAATGTGTCAGGGTTAAATCGTATACATATACATGCACAGTGCGTTAACTGGAGTGCGGGTATTAGTTACCCGCACTCCAGAGCATGCCCATTGATTGGCTCATTTTTGCTGGGGTTTACATATTGTGACGGCAGTGAAAGTGAAATCGACAGAAATGTCATATTTAGATGCTCGTTCATTGGTTCATTTTTGCCGGGGTTTCATATTGTAACAACAGGGAACGTGTTTTTATGTTTGACTATGATACAAAAGAGAAAGAACACCAAAACCCTCGGTAATCTGATAAATACTCGGGGGGCTACGCCCCCTCGTACAAATCAGATAACCTCGTGTTTCGGTGCTCTTTCTATTACTTATTTATAATTATGTATTAAGTTATAGTAAAAAAATAACATTTGTTAAAATAAATTCCAAGATCAAGGGAAATAATTCTAGAAATAGTCACGCTAGAGTTATGAACCTTGTCACACAACATGTATGTAATGATAAGAAGTATATATTTGAAGTTTGAAGTATAGATACCTTAAAAGTTAAAAAGTAACAAATTTATAATATTTCTTAAAGAAAATCCTAAGTTCAAAGAGAGATAAATCTGTAAATATTACTTCAAGAGTTATGAACATTGTCACATAAAATATAATTGATTATAAGGAATAAGTATTAGTAGTTTGAGGTAGATCCCTTTAAAACTAAAGAAGTTGTAGTAAAATAACATTTTTCTAGTAAAAAAATCTACGTTGATGGGGAAATAATTCTTGCAATATTGGTACTAGAGTTATGAACCTTGTCACATAAGATGTGGATGATGATAAGGTACATTTATTTGAAGTATGAAGTTGATCCCTTTAGAAATAAATAAGTTACAGTAAAAAATAATATTTTTTAAAGAAAATTCTAAGTTCAAGGGGAGATAAATCTGAAAATATTGGTGCTAATGTTATGAACCTTGTCACATAAGATGTGGATGATGATAAGGTACATATATTTGAAGTATGAGGTTGATCCCTTAAGAAATAAAGAAGTAACTGTAAAAAATAGTATTTTTTAAGGAAAATTCTAAGTTCAAGGGGAGATTAATCTGAAAATATTGGTGCTAGAGTTATGAACCTTGTCACATAAGATGTGGTTGATGATAAGGAACATATATTTGAAGTTTGAAGTTGATAAATTAAGAAATGACAAAGTTACAGTGAAAAATATTTTACTGCACCAAAACTTTAATCTGAAATCTGGACGCGGACGCCGACGCCGGGGCGAGTAGGACAGCTCTCCATATACTTCGTATAGTCGAGCTAAAAAATTAAAATGCATTGAAAAAGTTTGAAAGCATGATGAAATTATCATTACATTACAAAGAATACATAACTGATTAAAAGTATTTTTGAATAAATGCTTAATAACACTGAAGGTACTAATGTTCTACAGATCCATGATAAAGGTAACAGTGAACATATTGAGTCCTCCTAAAGTGCTGAACTGAGTATAACAATAACTTAAGTCTTGCTTATAAATTGATAATTTCAGCTTTAACTCAAGCCATATTTGTATAACATACTTATCTTCATAATCTACCTTTAACAGAACAAATAAAGAATTGGTTTCAATTAACGTTTCAACAAGTACACATAAATTATAAGGTTAAGGCATGGCAGGTTCCTTTGATAATATTGATTTTTATGAAAATATATCAGTACCTTTATGTGAAAGAACCGGCTCTTCCTCTAATGTTACTAATGCAAAATCTTCTACAACTCTGATGTCAGCTTCATCTGAATTGTCTTTCTCATTTACATCACCTTCCTCTGAATTGTCTTTTTCAATCACACCAACTTTTTCTGAATTGTCTTTTTCAATCACATCCACTTTCTCTGAATTGTCTTTTTCAATCACACCAACTTTCTCTGAATGTTTTTTTTCAATTACACCGACTTTCTCTGAATTGTCTTTTACAATCACACCGACTTTCTCTGAATTGTCTTTTTCAATCACACCCACTTTCTCTGAATTGTCTTTTTCAATCACACCGACTTTCTCTGAATTGTCTTTTTCAATCACACCGACTTTCTCTGAATGGTCTTTCTCAATCAAGTTAACTTTTTTTAAAATGTCTTTTTTAATCTTATCAACTTTCCTGGAATTGTTTTTTTTAATTACATCAACTTTCTTTGAATTGTCTTTCTCAATCACATCAACTTTCCTTGACTTGTCTTTCTCAATCACACCAGTTTTCCTTGAATTGTCTTTCTCAATTGCATCATCTTTCTGTGCATTGCCTTTCTCTATCACATTAACTTTCTTTGAATTGTCTTTCTCAATCACATCAACTTTCCTTGAATTGTCTTTCTCAATCACACCAGTTTTCCTTGAATTGTCTTTCTCAATTGCATCATCTTTCTGTGCATTGCCTTTCTCTATCACATTAACTTTCTTTGAATGGTCTTTCTCAATTGCATCAACTTCCTCCAATTTGCCATTCTCAATCGCATCATCTTTCTTTGAATTGTCTTTTTCAATCACATTAACTTTCCTTGTATTATCTTTCTCATCCACAACAACTTTTTCTGAATTGTCTTTTGAACTGTCATCATTTTGGTCCTGCACAGGTACACACATTTCCTTGTCCTTTAAACCTTTTGTTTTGAAACTGGAAAGTTTTACACTCTTGTTAAGTCTTTGTTCAGACTCATTTAAACCATCATCAGATCTAAGAACATTGCTTTGATTTAAATGGTTTTCTCGAAGGTCAAAAGGAACTGGTTTCTTAATTTTTCTGCCTACTCTAGTAGTTCCTGAATGAACTTGATCAATGTATGTTCCAGTGTTGGTTTGATGTTTTCCCTTTTCTGAACAAGATTTGTGTTTTCCAAGATCATTCTCAGATTCTACCTTGCTTTTTATTATCATTGTACATTGTCAATATCATCAATGTTTGTTTTAGTGTTGGTTTGATGTTTTCCCTTTCCTGAACAAGATTTGTGTTTTCCAAAATCATTCTCAGATTCCACCTTGCTTTTTTTATTGTCATTGTCCAATACATTGTCAATACCATCATTTTTCACTTTTTCAGTTTCATAATCATTTTTCACTTTTCCAGTTTCATTATCATTTTTCACTTTTTCAGTTTCATTATCATTTTTCACTTTTTCTGTTTCATTTAGATTTTTTACTTTTTCAGTTTCATTATCATTTTTCACTTTTTCAGTTTCATTATCACTTTTCACTTTTTTAGTTTCATTATCATTTTTCACTTTTTCAGTTTCATCATCATCATTTGATTCACTATGAGTAATACTTTCTATCTGATTATCAAGGTTGAGATCTTCATTTTCAGAATTAGTTACTCTTTCTAAGTTTGTTCTATCGTTAAAGGACAAAGTCCCACCCTCTTTACACTTGTATGGAGAAGTGGGGCACTTACTTGCATTCCCTGCCAATGAATCCATATCTAAGTCAATGTGTACAACCTCCTCTTTACCATCATGACACTGATGATCTAATATGCTAAAATTCCCATCTGTTGATTGAACATTCTTCTCTACATGGTCATCTTTTTTCCCACCATCATCACTTACACTGACCAAATCATCACCTTTCTTCTTATCCTCTGTTTCATTGTCTTTTCCATTCTTTTTCACTTTCTTTAGCATTTTAGCAATCATTTTTTCAATTTTTGTTTCTGTTTCAATACTCATCTCTCTCTCTTTATATAATCGCTCTATACTGGCCTTATTATCTATCCCCTCTGTATCTTGGTTCTCGACAAATGTTATTCTGCAATTCTCTTCCTCAGCATCGCTTATCAAATTAATCTCTTCTTTTGGTGCAATGAACATATCTGTGCCCTTGTCACAAACATCAATCCCTTCACCACTATCCATTGTCTGCCTTTGTTCAATATCACTGCCACTGTGTCCCTGAGTCCTCATATCCGTATCATCCTTCTTATGTGACACTAGGTTCATATCATCTTCCATACTAACATCTTTAAATTGTTCATGTGAAGTTGACATATTATCAAGTAGGTCTAGATGTGATTTAAGTTTTGACAAATGGAAATTCATTGCGCTTAAGATATCACTTTCACTTTCATTAAAATTGTCTGTCCCTCTATCTTCAGGAATTTTTTTACTTCTGAAATGAACAAATATTTGTTTATTTTTCTAAAATCAACCATTTACATATTTCAAAATAAACAAAGAACATAAAAAACACAAAAGGGTCATGGTGGCCTTGAACAGCTCCCCAGAATTTGTATCAAGATTTTTTTCATAAGATATTTTGGGTTTACTCAACCTCCAATTATTTGATAGTGTTTCGAATATTTGGTAGTGTTTCAAATATATTTCCTGGCCCTAGTTGAAATCCCTAAAGAAATACTGGAGAACTTGTGCACAAAAGTTCTCCTCCTTAAAAATAATCAACAACTAAGGACATGAATTTACCAAAAAATAATTTAATCACAAAAGCCTGACAACAGGCACTACGGTACCCGAGAAAATACCCGAGTTCTTTGAAAATAATACTATATCAATAATGACCTGCACCTTAAGTCAAGAAAATGGTTAACACTGCTAACTAACTTGACAAAGCCATGAGAATTTATGTGTGTCAATTATGAGGCCATTGAAACAGGTAAAACTTAAGATATAGTCAACTTGTCGGTTTAGATTAAGCTTACAGGGATGGACAGACATGTGACCAAAATTGAATAAGGGGACATTTTTTTGTAATTTTATTTTGTTTGATAAAAGGTCACTGGCCTCTTCCTCTATTGTTATGGAATGAACTCAAATAATCTGTTTATTCTGTTGACAGTTAGATTACTGCCTATTTCTTTTTGGTTATGTAGACTAACATCCTGATGGACAATGCAAAATTTATATCCTTCTACGTTCAACAGGAAAAAAATAAACTTACTGAGATTTTTGCAATTCTCTATTCACATCTGTTCCATCCATTGTCCATAGTTTTTTCTCTGCAAGAAATACAGTCAGCTGTGATTACTCAATGTGAATTCACATATTAATATGTCCTTAGGTTACATGGAAGTGAAATTTTATCCCTATAAATAAACCATATAAACTTTGAAGGCATAAAAGTATTCCTAAGATTGCAATAAATAACAATAAATATAAACATTTCTAACAAATAAAGTTGTATGGCTTAATTTGTTACAAAACAAAATGAAAAATTGTCCCTCTCTTACATATCAATTTGCAAAACAGGGGTATTTGGAGTATTCCTCCAAAAGTAAAATGTTAAAAGTCACTTTAGTTATCACCAAAACCACAGCACAGGGACAAATCAAACCTTATTTTATAATGAAAATTGCGCTTCCATGAAGCTTTTTTTTTTAAAGATACTAACAAAATACATGTATTCCAATTCTGACTAACCTGAGGGGCCAGAGTATTCTGGACTATCATACACCCACGAGCCATCTTGTTTAAACTCTACTTCATTTACACACTCGGGTATAGTTGATAAAATACTCAAAAATAATCTAAAAATATAGAAAAAATCCTAATGATTAGCAGAGGTAGACAGAAATACCGTAACCTTTCAGTGTATTCATACTATTGTGTTCGAGGTCCTTATCTGAAGACTAATGGAACCGGTCTTAAGGTAGCAATTGGCTATAATATATAATGAATTTTTTTTATAAAATTTGTTTAAGTTTGTTTTCCTCTAAATTTCATATACAATTTTCAAGATTTGTAACATTTAATGTCTATGTTACATGTATTTAACACACATAAATATTTTATCTTAACTGAATAAAATGTTGTGGTACAAAATGTTATGATGCCAGTTAAAGTAAGATAACTATCAAGCAATGCTTTGGGTTTTTTTTGTTTTTTGTTGGGTTTTTGTTTCTTTTTGTGAAATACCGTATATGTGGATATTTATGAGTCACATTAAATTTGTGAATGTCAAAAAGTGAACTTTTAGCATGCAGAAATATTTATAAAACTAGAAATGTGTCATCATGCCACGGATGCCCCCGCATGCAGCCAAAATTTCAGATGGTGCATTAATTATTTTTTTCATTTTAAGTTCAAAGCCCTTAAAACTTTTCAATGTTAACACAAACCATTTCATACAATGTTCAAGGCACTGAAATTATTCAGTCTTAACCTTTTAAAAATAGCATATTGCATATTTGTAGCCAAAATAATGGCTAAAAAGTATGAGTGCTGAAACTGAAAGTTTCAAAATTTTTCCAACATTCAGGAAAGATAAGTTTGTCTAAAATCATTGAACCACGACCAAATTCAAACTTAAACTGCTTATTCCTAAGATGTATCTATGTTATTTTCAAAGTGAAAGGGACATAACTCTGCCAAAAAATCATCGAACCATGACCAAATTCCAACTTGACCTGCCCATTCCTTTGACATATCCATATGTCAAATTTAAGTTGAATATGTAACACTGTTGGGTAGATAATGAACAGAAACTGTAAATTTCATATTTTTTTCAAAGTGAAAGGGGCATTACTCTGCCAAAAATCATTGAACCATGACCAAATTCAAACTTGACCTGTATTTTCTCATGATATATCCATATGTCAAGTTTGAGTTGAATGTGTTGTTTCATTGGGGAGATAATAAACGGAAACTGAAAACTTCATATTACTAAATCAAAGTGAAAGGGGCATTACTCTGCCAAAAATCATTGAACCATGACCAAATTCGAACTTGACCTGTATTTTCTCATGATATATCCATATGTCAAGTTTGAGTTGAATGTGTTGTACCGTTGGGGAGATAATGAACGGAAACTGAAAATTTCATATTACTTTCAAAGTAAAAGGGGCATAACTCTGCCAAAAATCATCGAACCATGACCAAATTCGAACTTGACCTGTATTTTCTCATGACATATCCATATGTCAAGTTTGAGTTGAATGTGTTGTACCGTTGGGGAGCTAATGAACGGAAACTGAAAATTTCATATTATTTTCAAAGTAAAAGGGGCATAACTCTGCCAAAAATCATCGAACCATGACCAAATTCGAACTTGACCTGTATTTTCTCATGACATACCCATATGTCAAATTTGAGTTGAATGTGTGCAACCGTTCTTAAGATAATGAACGGAAACTGATGATGACGGAATGACAGAATGATGGAAGGACAGAACATGGCCATTACATGGCGGGGGCATAAATATTATAAATAACTTGACCTGCCCATTCCTTTGACATATCCATATGTCAAATTTAAGTTGAATATGTAACACTGTTGGGTAGATAATGAACAGAAACTGTAAATTTCATATTTTTTTCAAAGTGAAAGGGGCATTACTCTGCCAAAAATCATTGAACCATGACCAAATTCAAACTTGGCCTGGGCATTCCAAAAACATATCCATATGTCAAATTTGAGTTGAATGTGTTGTTTCATTGGGGAGATAATAAACGGAAACTGAAAACTTCATATTACTTTCAAAGTGAAAGGGGCATTACTCTGCCAAAAATCATTGAACCATGACCAAATTCGAACTTGACCTGTATTTTCTCATGATATATCCATATGTCAAGTTTGAGTTGAATGTGTTGTACCGTTGGGGAGATAATGAACGGAAACTGAAAATTTCATATTACTTTCAAAGTAAAAGGGGCATAACTCTGCCAAAAATCATCGAACCATGACCAAATTCGAACTTGACCTGTATTTTCTCATGACATATCCATATGTCAAGTTTGAGTTGAATGTGTTGTACCGTTGGGGAGATAATGAACGGAAACTGAAAATTTCATATTATTTTCAAAGTAAAAGGGGCATAACTCTGCCAAAAATCATCGAACCATGACCAAATTCGAACTTGACCTGTATTTTCTCATGACATACCCATATGTCAAATTTGAGTTGAATGTGTGCAACCGTTCTTAAGATAATGAACCGAAACTGATGATGACGGAATGACAGAATGATGGAAGGACAGAACATGGCCATTACATGGCGGGGGCATAAATATTATTTCTTGAATTCAATACTGTTTTTGTGATATTAATAAAGCAAGATTTTATATTGTCATATTTTTTCTCTTTATTCATTTGACAAAACTTTATAAAGACAACTCCTAGAATATGATATTCTATATTTGATATATCTATTTATACTTAGTTGTTTCTCATAATCGTCAATATATGGGCGATATATAAAATTTAAAAGAAAAGGTTGGCAATACTTGTAAATAACTTCCAACCAAACAGATTCTAATTCATCTATTTCTTTACGACCGTAAAGAACGGCGCCTACATGGTACCTTGTCGGCAATATATATTACAATTAAGATTACACATTTTAATGCCTAGTAATTAGTTACCCGCAGTCACTGTCTGTCTAGAGCGCGCTTGTTGCTTGGCTCATTTTATTCCTGGGATTTATTTAATGTGACAACAGGAAAAGATATAAAGATAGAAAAGTCATATTCAGATGCTCGTACATAGGCTCCTTTTTTCTAGGGTTTAATATTGTAAGCTAAGTCAAAAACTGTTCAAATAACAACTTTTATTGATAAAAAGTTAATTCCACAATTTCTTTATTCAACTCTGAAGAGCACTAAATTTGCTATGTTTAACAATAGAAAGTTCCACAAAATGCTCTTATCACTAGTTTTCGCGACTGTCAGGATTTAAAGCCAAAATGCAAACTGAAAACAGCCTGTCATGGCTACTTATATAGACTCTGAAATGGCCAGGACTGTCACAATTGACCAATCATAACTTTCCATTTGGCCTGGCAGTCTGACAGGAAAAACAGGAATTTCTTAAAATGGCAGCCATATTGACAGGAATAATTTAGAAAATTTAAATTAACAAAGTTAACTTATAACAAAATATGCAATAAACACTTGAATTACATGCTTAACTTGATGCACTTAAGATCTGGACCAAAAACAATCATGGTTATAGCTTAGAAAAATAAACTATTGATATAAAAAGATTCCAAGTGCCAGGAATTTGAATTTTCCCTCCTGACAAACTTAGAGGTCATACCGGTCATCAACATTATTATGAAAAACAGCAATGCCAGCTAACTATTTGGAAAGTAACTTATGTCTTAGGTAATTAAGGATTACATTCTTTGTTCTTACATGTAAAATGATAAGTTTTTGTATATGTTTATGAAAATAAATGCATTTAAAGTTTTGAATCAAGGTAGACAACTCTTATCGGCTATTTTGATGCCAGGATAAACAAAGTAAGTAAATAAATCATTTCTTGAAGTATAAACCTCCTTATAGTGCCTTATATAGTCCTAGAGCCTCAGAATGTCCTACATCATGGTCTTTAAATTCCTTCATTTACCAGAAGATTATCTAAACAAATTAAATCAGCAAATATGAATGACTGAGGCAAGTTCAGGAATCCTGACAGGTAAAGTTCAGGAATCCTGGCCGGTAAGTTTTAAGCATTGACTGAAAAGTATTACCTCATTTGTCAATAAATTATGCTAGTTTGATGTTCATATTGTCATAAAACATTATTTGTTTTAAACTGATATATCCATTACAAGGTCCTAAAAGTAATTATTTGATAAACATTCACAGTCCCTTACACTCTCCCCCTCTTAAAAGACATAAAATACTTTTTAAATGTTTTCTGTCTGTTTTTCTATTTTTTTTCTTCTGTATGATTGATTCTCTCTGTCACAATTTTTTTACGTTAGGACACCACTAGTAGAAACATCTTTGTTGTCAATAGCATGGATACAATGTCAACATCATTTCCTTATTAAATGAATATCCTGCAGGCTTTAAAGTGTAGAAAATTTCTTTTCATTCTTACAGTTTTGTTTGAACTAGATTTTATCTGTTAAGTTAAAGAAAGTACATGTAGTAGTTTTCAGATGTGGGTAACTGAATAATTATCTCCTTAACAAGATTTATCTGCATTATTTCTCCAATGTCTCTGTTACACATATGTCTAGTAATTCATATAAGCATTCACTCATTGTTAGTTTTAATTTCTTAAAATTTTTACTTGATTCCAAAGATATCCTTATTATTATGTTTGGTAAAGTGTATTGTTCACTGCATTACAGCAAATTGAGATAACCATTTCCGCTGATAATACTAATTATCATTTCCGAGTACAGTTCCAAAAGACTTAAGAGATAGATACTGAAACCACTTACCAGGAATTCACTCTTAACCATTGCCTGTCAATGGTTTTGAATTCCAATGGTTAAAGCGATGCAATGTATAATTGCAAAAAGGTTCGCAAATAACCATAATCCACATAGTGAAACATGGTTGATCAGGCCATTTCCAACTATGAATTTCAACAACACCACACAGAGCTCTGTGATTCACTTCAAAAATTTCACATTAATTAATCTTGTCATTTCAGTATCAATCCCATTGAACCATTGTACATGTATAATTACGTATTACAGCTAACTGCCATGTTTGCTTTACTTTGTTTAAATTTCATAGAACCATTGTTTAAGTATAATTACGTATTTTGTATTTCGTATTTAAGCTGAATGAATTACTGTTCATGTCTTTTTTATGCTCTACTTTGTATTATTCCTATTGAACCATTGTATCAAAACATAAAAATCACTATTAATTAATATTAATGTCTTTCTGGGGCTTCTGGTGCTTTAATTTAACAGTCATAACATATAACAAATCAACAGTTAACTTCAAATGTAACCAATAATAAAGTTTAACAATTTTAGTAGTCCATAAAATTATGTTTTCACTTCCCACTTGTGTTTTAAGCTTTCTTATCCAAGTTGGAAAAGTTTTCCACTTTGGTACATTACTGATTCATTTTGTTATGACCAGAACCAAAGATACCCTCATATGTGTCAATTATCTCAACTGCATGCGCAACTGATTTGCAGTTTTCCACAATACATTTGTACTTCAGGTCTTGACCTAAGTCTCTGTAAATTGTGTGAAGTGTCATCAGCTCCTGGGCACTAGGGTCAAGATGAGGATATGCTTTCCTAATCATCTGCTGGATAGCATCAGCAAACTGAGATGCACTTTCACCTGGGATTCTTACCCGTGCCTCTAATAGTGACAACCATTTTGACCTTTGATTTCCACCACCAAACCTCTGTTCAAACCTTGATATAAGTAAATCATAGTGTTCCTTTATTTCAGTGGGTAGGTGACTATAAAATTCAAGTGCCTTCCCTCTAAGAGAGCCTGCCAAAACAAGAGCCTTTGTGCGTTGATTCCAGTTCCCTAACTTTGCACATACTTCAAACTGAGTCTCAAATATCTCCCAATCACTTTCACCTGTGTAAAGGTCTGGCTTCATAGTTATTGAATTGTTCTCACTTCTATGATGTATAGGAGAGAATGAATAACTTCTATTAGTGCGCATTTCAATATATCTCTGCCTTTGAGTTTGCGAAGAACTTCTGCTATTATTTTGGTCACCCCCTGCTTCTGAGTCATTGTCACTCATTTGGCCTGTTAATTGTATATTTCTATTTACTTCATCACATGAGGAAGACCTAATATTATTTTCTTCTGTATTTGTAAAAACAATTTCACTTCCAGAGTCTGACATTATTATTATATTCTTTCTTTCTTTTTTTTTTTTTTAATGGTGATTAACTTTTGTGTAGTTACAAGTCCTTTTTGGTATTTTATAAGTCTTCAAGTTCAAGGTCAATTCCAGGAAAAATGTAAACAGTTCTTTTAATCCTCTGATTCTGACACCAATTGTAAGCTAAGTCAAAAACTGTTCAAATAACAACTTTTATTGATAAAAAGTTAATTCCACAATTTCTTTATTCAACTCTGAAGAGCACTAAATTTGCTATGTTTAACAATAGAAAGTTCCACAAAATGCTCTTGTCACTAGTTTTCGCGACTGTCAGGATTTAAAGCCAAAATGCAAACTGAAAACAGCCTGTCATGGCTACTTATATGGACTCTGAAATGGCCAGGACTGTCACAATTGACCAATCATAACTTTCCATTTGGCCTGGCAGTCTGGCAGGAAAGACAGGAACTTCTTAAAATGGCAGCCATATTGACAGGAATAATTTAGAAAATTTAAATTAACAAAGTTAACTTATAACAAAATATGCAATAAACACTTGAATTACATGCTTAACTTGATGCACTTAAGATCTGGACCAAAAACAATCATGGTTATAGCTTAGAAAAATAAACTATTGATATAAAAAGATTCCAAGTGCCAGGAATTTGAATTTTCCCTCCTGACAAACTTAGAGGTCATACCGGTCATCAACAATATTATGAAAAACAGCAATGCCAGCTAACTATTTGGAAAGTAACTTATGTCTTAGGTAATTAAGGATTACATTCTTTGTTCTTACATGTAAAATGATAAGTTTTTGTATATGTTTATGAAAATAAATGCATTTAAAGTTTTGAATCAAGGTAGACAACTCTTATCGGCCATTTTGATGCCAGGATAAACAAAGTAAGTAAATAAATCATTTCTTGAAGTATAAACCTCCTTATAGTGCCTTATATAGTCCTAGAGCCTCAGAATGTCCTACATCATGGTCTTAATTCCTTCATTTACCAGAAGATTATCTAAACAAATAAAATCAGCAAATATGAATGGCTGAGGCAAGTTCAGGAATCCTGACAGGTAAAGTTCAGGAATCCTGGCCGGTAAGTTTTAAGCATTGACTGAAAAGTATTACCTCATTTGTCAATAAATTATGCTAGTTTGATGTTCATATTGTCATAAAACATTATTTGTTTTAAACTGATATATCCATTACAAGGTCCTAAAAGTAATTATTTGATAACTATTCACAGTCCCTTACAATATTGTGACACAGGGAACGTGTTTTTATTTTTGCCTATGATACAAACCCTGGGGCTCTTTTACAAATCAGAAAGCCTCATGTTTCCATGCATTTTCTATTACATGTACGAGATAAACCAAGCTTTATAACCTATTATATAGTATCATCGTATATCACTTTGTACCCACTATAAACATACCCATCTATATACACATCACCAAGGAGTTGGTCACACATGTAACATTTCTTGTTTAGTGTTGGACGTTCTTGATTCATCTTCAACAATGTTAAGGCATCCATACATTGTATATGAGTACAGTTAGATCCTCTACATGGTGATACTAGACGTGTCTGTCCCAACTGAAAAATCAGGCAAGTCAAAAAAATACAATTTGTAAAACTTTCGTGATATATCAGATTTGAATGTTTAATTATAAGACAATGATTCTAAATACATAACAATGAAAATTTTCACATTATTCAAAATAAATACAGTGTATGTCTGCTGCCAACATGAACCTGCTTTGAAAAAAGCTCAACCATACAAGCAGTTTTTTCAAACACTATAAAAATGTTCATTTAAAATTTATAATCAACAACCTTAAGGAATAACAAGAGCCACCGCCGGGGGGGGGGGGGGGGGGGGGGCAACACTCGACTTTTAACTTTCTCTAAAAGCAAACAAAGAAATGTTTGAACTAAATATTAACATTTCCTTTTTTATAAAATTAATCATTCTGTTTTGTCACATTAGTGTTGTCTATATATTTTATTATTATATAAATTTACTAATTTATATATATATAAATAGAGACAACCAATTCGAAGTCACATGGTGGTGTCACGTGGTAAAGTCTCGTGGTGGTGTCACGTGGTGGAGTCACGTGGTGGAGTTACTTGGTGGAGTCACTTGGTGGAGTCACGTGGTGGATTCACGTGGTGGATTCACGTGGTGGAGTCACGTGATGGAGTCACGTGGAAGTCACGTGGTGGTGTCAGGTGGTGGAGTCAGGTGGTGGAGTCAGGTGGTGGAGTCAGATGGTGGAGTCAGGTGGTGGTGTCAGGTGGTGTAGTCACCTGGTGTAGTCAGGTGGTGGAGTCAGGTGGTGGAGTCAGGTGGTGGAGTCAGGTGGTGGAGTCAAGTGGTGGAGTCACGTGGTGGAGTCACGTGGTGGTGTCACGTGGAAGTTAGTGGAAGTCACGTGGTGGTGTCACGTGGTGGTATAACGTGGTGGAGTCACATGGTGGAGTCATGTGGTGGAGTCATGTTGTGAAGTCACGTGGTGAAGTCACGTGGTGGAGTCATGTGGTGGTGTCACGTGGTAGTCATGTGGTGGTGTCACGTGGTGGAGTCAGGTGGTGGATTCACGTGGTGGATTCACGTGATGGAGTCACGTGGTGAAGTCATGTGGTGGAGTCACTTGGTGAAGTCACGTGGTGGAGTCACGTGGTGGAGTCACGTGGTGGAGTCACGTGGTGGAGTCACGTGGTGGAGTCACGTGGTGTAGTCACGTGGTGAAGTCACGTGGTGAAGTCACGTGGTGGAGTCACGTGGTGGAGTCACGTGGTGGAGTCACGTGGTGTAGTCACGTGGTGGAGTCACGTGGTGGAGTCACGTGGTGGAGTCACGTGGTGAAGTCAAGTGGTGGTGGAGTCACGTGGTGATGTCACGTGGTGGAGTCACCTTGTGAAGTCACGTGGTGGAGTGACGTGGTGAAGTCATTGGTGGAGTCACGTGGTGAAGTCACGTGGTGGAGTCACGTGGTGGAGTCACGTGGTGGAGTCACGATGTGAAGTCACATGGTGAAGTCACGATAAACAACAAGGTCTAGTCTTTAAGTATGTTCTGTTATAATATGAAGTTGATCCCTTCAATAATAGCAAAGTAACAGCCAGTTAAAGCCAAAACAAAGTCAAGGTCATTCATGAGTGAAGGTCAAAGTCTGTCATGTTATTTTTAAGGGTTATCCTTGAAGATTATTATGTTCAAGTTTGAAGACAATCCATTTAAAAATAACAAAGTTACAGCCAATAATAGCCAAAAAGATGAAAATTTCAATAATTTGACCTTCAAAGTCAAGATTATTATGTTCAAGTTTGAAGACAATCCATTCAAAAATAACAAAGTTATAGCCAATAACAGCATGAACAAGCAAAATTTGGACTTTTAACCTTGAAGGTCAAGGTCATTTATGGATTTAGGTCAAGGTTAGTGTGGTCTACTGAAAGGTCTTGTCCCAAGGGTTGTTGTGGCCAAGTATGAAGACAATACACCAAGAAATAAAAAAGTTATGATCCAGGTACAAGTTTGCGGACGGCAACGGCTACGGCAACGCCGTCGCGACTATAACAATACCTCTACTTTTTTTTTCAAAAAAAAAAAAAAAAGTCGAGCTAAAAATAGCACTGACATACCTTATCAAAAATTATAAACTCCAGTCATTATTTAATAAATTATGCTTAAGTCAGTTGTAAATAGTATGTCATTACCACAAGAATTTAAAACATTACTTACTGGGCAAATCAGAGAAGCTTTCAGACTTGTGCAGCTAATATCCTTGTCAAACTCAAACTTAAGCTGGACTGTAAATAATAAAAAAAACATGTCTCTTCAGAACATATGTCTTCTAGTTTCAAATACCTAACAGCAGTTGTCAAGTATCAATAAAAATATAAGGACATCATTGTTTTAAATTTAAAATTTGAAGAGCATAAATATATACTACTCTCCGCCATTATATTACTATGTATGTTAATAACAATATTTTTCTACGCAAAACAGTTCATATCTACCCACATTATAAATGGATAACAGGAAAAACTTCCCAAATTCCCTATCCTGCATTAGTTTCTATTTAAACACCTGTTAAGCATTGTCTCTTAGACTTTTGGCTACCCGCATGGCACCAATTTGCCATTATCATCATCATCAGAATTTTATTTTAGTCAGTATATTTCTTGAAATTTACTCTAAAAGTTATCAAAGCATATGTTCAGATTAAATGATAGACAAGTCCATTTAAGATATCTGGCAGGTTATAGGTTAATCAGCATCTTAACTATTAGTTATTCAGTTTTTGACAATCTACAAGGCCCTATATAAATGGTTGTTTGGAAATATAACCAGAGCAACAAGACAAGGATTATATTTCAAACAACTGTTTATATATGACCATATAACCTGTCAGGAACATTTATAACAAATTTATAATTCAGCAAACTTCCTTTTTTAGAGCAAAAAGTGAGATTTCTTCGTAAATTGACAGCAGCCGTGTAAATAAAACCATATAAATGTTACGATAATCCAATGAAAAGCGATGTTACAAATGTTACAATTATCCAATGAAAAGCGACATTACAAAATTAATGTGCAGCATGTTTAATTACCCATCTCTGTAGTGATGGACTGATCTTTCACACTGTTCTCCAACAAGTTAGACACTACACCAGGTATAGATAGTTTTTCTGCCACACATAACATCATACAGTATCTCTGTAACAGTAATATAAACAGTTTTAATAAACATCATCTTCTGAAGAAATTTTCAAGGATATCATCTGCAGTTTGGATATACAAACATTTAAATCACTATTCGGTGTTCGGATTCAATTTTATCCAGGTATTTGTATTCAATTGATGCCAATTTAATTTGATTATCTAATCTGTCATACTTTGCAAAACAAACTGACTTCATAAAATGTTTTTGATTGGCTTTCATGGTCACATTTTGTCGAATTTATCCAATTTTAATTAACTTAATAGCAACTAATTATCTTATACAAGAGTAATAAGATACTTATGTTACTGTTTTAAATGCCAAACAAATAAAAAATTTATAGGACTTTAAGGTGAATACTCTCTGTATTCCGAGACAAGATATCACTCTTTTGTAAACAAACATTCCGGGACAATGTTACTCATTATTATATCCAAATTTTTATATTGAATGTACACTTCCTCATAGAAGAAATTTAATCAATATAAAAAAATATCAAAAGAAACATTCTAACACTATTGTAGATGTCTCTTATATTAACAAAGAAGGCAAGATATGTGCGTTATTCTACGACAATGCACTCGCTGTTTTTATTTCCTCACTCTGTATTTTTAAACTGAGACTTTGATGGCACCATTTTGTTTGAAAAATCTGATAAATAAAAAACAATTTTTGTTGAATTTTGTTTTGAAAACTACCTTAAATGATAGACAAGAGCCACCGCCGGGCGGGGGCAATGCTCGACTTTTTACTTTTTCTTAAAGCAAACAAAGAAATGCTTGAACAAATCTTAACGTTTCCTTTTTATAAATTTAATAGGTCTGTCTTGTCACATTAGTTTTGTCAAAGTATGAATCCTTTCCATATATATCCGCATGTGTATACAGAAGAAAAAAGAAAAGCAAAAGATCTGTTACAATTTGATTCATAGCGTGTGACAATTGGGTTTATGACATTTATAGTTTGTGGGGTTTTTTTTATTCATGATGTGATATAGTGTCACAATTTTAATTATGACATTTTAGTATTTGACAATTTGAATTATGACATCATTTTTGTGCTGTCTACAATATGAATAATGACATCATATTCTGTGACAATTTGGATTATGACATTATATTTTGTGACAATTTGGATTATGACATTATATTATGTGACAATTTGGATTATGACATAATATTATGTGACAATATGGATTATGACATTATATTTTGTGACAATTTGGATTATGACATTATATTTTGTGACAATTTGGATTATGACATCATATTATGTGACAATTTGGATTATGACATTATATTTTGTGACAATTTGGATTATGACATAATATTATGTGACAATATGGATTATGAATCATATTCTGTGACAATTTGGCTTATGACATTATATTTTGTTACAATTTGGATTATGACATTATATTCTGTGACAATTTGGATTATGACATTATATTCTGTTACAATTTGGATTATGACATTATATTCTGTGACAATTTGGATTATGACATTATATTTTGTGACAATTTAGATTATGACATTATATTTTGTGATAATTTGGATTATGACATCATATTATGTGACAATTTGGATTATGAATCATATTCTGTGACAATTTGGATTATGACATTATATTTTGTGACAATTTGGATTATGACATTATATTCTGTGACAATTTGGATTATGACATTATATTCTGTGACAATTTGGATTATGACATTATATTCTGTGACAATTTGGATTATGACATTATATTTTGTGACAATTTGGATTATGACATTATATTCTGTGACAATTTGGCTTATGACATTATATTTTGTGACAATTTGAATTATGACATCATTTTTTGTGCTGTCTACAATATGAATAATGACATCATATTCTGTGACAATTTGGATTATGACATTATATTTTGTGACAATTTGGATTATGACATTATATTTTGTGACAATTTGGATTATGACATCATATTATGTGACAATTTGGCTTATGACATTATATTTTGTGACAATTTGGATTATGACATAATATTATGTGACAATTTGGATTATGAATCATATTCTGTGGCAATTTGGCTTATGACATTATATTTTGTTACAATTTGGATTATGACATTATATTCTGTGACAATTTGGATTATGACATTATATTCTGTTACAATTTGGATTATGACATTATATTCTGTGACAATTTGGATTATGACATTATATTTTGTGACAATTTAGATTATGAATCATATTCTGTGACAATTTGGATTATGACATAATATTATGTGATAATTTGGATTATGACATTATATTCTGTGACAATTTGGATTATGACATTATATTTTGTGACAATTTAGATTATGAATCATATTCTGTGACAATTTGGATTATGACATTATATTTTGTGATAATTTGGATTATGACATCATATTATGTGACAATTTGGATTATGACATTATATTCTGTTACAATTTGGATTATGACATTATATTCTGTGACAATTTGGATTATGACATTATATTTTGTGACAATTTAGATTATGAATCATATTCTGTGACAATTTGGATTATGACATTATATTTTGTGATAATTTGGATTATGACATTATATTCTGTGACAATTTGGATTATGAATCATATTCTGTGACAATTTGGATTATGACATTATATTTTGTGACAATTTGGATTATGACATTATATTCTGTGACAATTTGGATTATGACATTATATTCTGTGACAATTTGGATTATGACATTATATTCTGTGACAATTTGGATTATGACATTATATTCTGTGACAATTTGGATTATGACATTATATTCTGTGACAATTTTATTTATATGACATTATATTCTGTGACAATTTGGATTATGATATATTCTGTGACAATTTGGATTATGACATTATATTCTGTGACAATTTGGATTATGACACTATATTCTGTGACAATTTGGATTATGACATTATATTCTGTGACAATTTAGATTATGACATTATATTCTGTGACAATTTCATTCATAATGATATGTTCTGTGACAATTTGGATTATGACATTTATTATGTTTTTTGACAATTTAATTTATAACAATATGTTTAATGCTGCTCACTGACGTACTCACTTTTGAAAAAAAATTATGTGGAGAAGTTTGCAATTTTTTGAGGAGAAAAAAATGTGTACTCCTGCTATGCGAAAACATATAAAACAGACAAATAATAAATCAAGAAAAATTTAATACTGATTTTATAGAGAAGACATGTTTCATTTCAAGAGCTATCCTTGCAAGGATTGTGAAGAAGGATATTTATGTTGCTATCAACAGCAAGATATCATAAAATGTAAAATTTGTTTGTACAGCGAGATAGCATTTACAAAAAGTGAAATATCTTTGTACATTTATATCATGTAACATGCTTGTTTAAATATTGAACAAGTTTTGGCTGGTGAATCAAGAACTTAATCTTTAAGAAATGTTTTTTTTTAAGTTTTCATATCAGCGGTTAGACTAGATGGGAATTCACTTGTCAGATGAGATACATTAAATATAATAAACTTTGTGCATTTAAAATATCACAGCAAGGAGGATAAACCATAGTGAGTTTATAATCTTATTTTTAAAAGTAAATAAAACAAAACTTAAAGTTTATAATCTTGTTTTTAAAAGTAAATAAAACAAAACTTTACAATATCTTATTTATGATCATTATAACATTGACCTTGACAATAACTTTCCTGTACCCCTCCCACATCTTTCCTAATTTTCAATGTTCTAGATGGGGTAGTGGTAAGCATAAAAGATTTTTCAATAATTAATATGAAAGCAGTTCCGTAGGTGATAAAATAATCTGAAATTATGCTTTCAACACATTACTTGAAGTTTACATGAAAGTTTAAATCAGGTGTTAGTAACATATTGTGATGGGCAGTTAGCACTCAAGATTAAAGAATCTGAATCAAATTTCTTCTTTATGCAAATTCACTGCTGGTCATAAATAACTGTATGCTATTTGTGTATTCAAGGTGAATAATGGCTGTTCCTGGTAAAAAGGCATCTCAGAAATTCTCATCTACACTATCTCAGGGTGGTGCTGAAGATTTTGACATTTATTGTGAAATATGTGACAGAGCTGATATCAGGCTTCCAGCCTTTGGTTACTGTGTAGATTGTGAGGAACACTTATGTCAATCTTGTTTCAACACTCACAGACGACCAAAACCACTATGCCATCACCAACTCCTAGATAAAGATCACATGCCACAAAAACAAAACTTCCATAGATCATCAAAATCTACTTCCAGTCCACAGACTGGTGATTTTACAAAGCCTTGTACTAAACACAGCAAGGAAGTGATTAAATTCTACTGTCATGACCATAATGCTCTTATATGTAGTGTTTGTGTAACCCTTGAACACACACCAACATCCTGTCATGTGGACTACATACCTGATATATCAGAACAGACTTTAGACAGCAAGGAGTTCAAGGAAACTCTAAAAGATATTGATAAATTGACAAACAAATGCTCCAAGATTACAAGTGATCTGAAACAAAGAGTTGCTAAATCAACATCTTCTCTTAAAGATGCTATAGCAGAAATTGACAATTTCAGAAAAGAGATAAACAAGAGATTAGATGAACTAGAAAAGGAGGTTAAAGATACTGCTACAACACTCCAACAAGTCAACAACAAAAAGTTGAAAATAACAGAAACAACATGTGATGACATCAACAAATCACTTCAAGCATCAGCTGATACTCTAAAACATCTCAATTCAAACAAGAAAACTGACCAACTGTTTACTGAACTAAAGAGAGCTCAGCAACTGATTCAAGATAATAACAATATAATATCACAACTATCAACAATCAATGACATTGATGAGTACATCTTTGAACCAAATCAAGACATCAAAAAATTCTTTCAAGATCAGAAATCATTAGGAACATTGAGCAGTAAGAATAAGAAACAGCCAGCTGAACCAAAGAATCCAACTGCAGTAGCAATGAAATTGTCTACACCTAGAAACTTCAATGCTAAATCTTCCTCAGATAAAGGTGATTGCTGGATTACTGGTATAGCTGTTTCTCCTCAAAATCAAAATCAAATATTTGCAGCTGATTACGATAATCACTCTATTAAAATGATACACATTAATAGTGGAACAATAAAACAATTAAAGCTTGACTCAGAACCATGGGATGTCACCATTGCCAGTGATTCACTTGCTGTTACATTACCAAACAGGAAAACAATACAATTCATTTCCTTCTCCCCAGACTCACTCTCACTGAAGAACAAACTGAAGGTAGATGGAGAGTGTCATGGTATCAGTCATCATCAGGGAAAACTTGTAGTCACATTTACAGCACCTGGTAAACTACAAATCATGGACTTAAAAGGTAATACTGAAGTTACAGTTTATAAAGATTCCAAAGAGTACAATATACTCATTTATCCTTGGTATGTCACAACAAACAGCCATTCAATCTATGTATCTGACTGTTACAAAAATGCAGTTCTACGATTTAACTGGAAGGGAGAGATGATAGGATTAGTAGGAATTCGTGGACCACATGGTATAACACTGTTAGATGATGGGTCTCTCATAGTGAATGATTGCAAGAGTGATTGTATATATAGAGTAAGTGGTGACTGTAAAGACAGTAAAACTATAATGGCGGATGTAGACAGTCCTTATGCTGCATGTTGGTGTGCTGATAATAGTACACTTTGTGTTAGTAAAAGAAACATTGTCAGTGCTGGCAGTGATAACAATTATATCAGATTGTATAAAATGATGTAAAAGACATGACAAGATATGATATGACACTAACAATTGTATAAGTGCATCAGATCATCATCATTCATTCAATACATTACTATAAAAATTAGTGAAACATTATGATATCACATATAACTTTAGTTTTGTTGATCTATAGATGAACAGACATATTGTTATAGTGTAAAGGTGAAGATATGCTTCATTGATCAATTTTTTAGAATTTTATGTGATATAAAAGATAATTTTATTTTTTATTGATGACTTGCTAGACAGCAGTAACATTTTACAAAAATAAAGATATTATATATAGAGTAACATCGGGTTATTTCAACACTTTTAGAGAATTTTGCTCACAAAAGTTTAGGTGTCGATGTTACAAGATCCGATTTTAACCCGAATGTGAAACTCACATTCTTGGAATACTTCTTGATTATGTAAACAAACAAGAATGTCTTGTTTGATTTGCAATATCTCTCTTACGAACATAGATATGGTCGTATAATTTCGACATGTTTCGTCTTATTTCGACATACTCAAATTTTTTTTTAAAAATGAAAGGAGAACATCATACATTTATTTGTTTGACTGTGCAATTAGATAAAGATTTATATATCATATTCAATCATTACATATAATTTCATTTTTTTGTTATAAGACAATAAAATGACATTCAACCATGGAGCTAAATATATCTGTGATTCAACTAATGAAAGAATTTGATGACATAATGTTCAAATATAATATGATTCATTTTCGGAGTAACAATCACGTTTCTTTTAAGTTCTGAATAGGTTCATAATTATATTCTCCACAGTACAGTACATGCAAGAATATATTTGACTGATAAGAACGTTACCTGTACATTGCTTCTGCAATGATTTGATGTTAATATACTGCGCTATTAAGTACAGACAGATATGCACAATCATTGACCATCATTTATCAAAACGGACACAAAGTGTATTTTTATCATTTACTCAAGAGGCAACTTAAAATTCATCGGTTTGCCTGTACATGAAAAATGCCATCTTTTTTGACATAATTAGTACCATTAATCCATTTGTCAGTGTCACAATCTTCATCATTCATTATTTGTGCATCCAGGACGCTGACTACTTTGACCAAAGTAGTCGTCAGTGTCAGCATAGGTTGGAATTTCAGAATTTGATTCTGACGATGTCTGTTCACTTGCAAAACAGGACTAGCAGATGACTCAGTGATTATGAAAGTACACTGAACTTTTGTCCAAAGACAATAGAGGACTATCAGACGACGTAGGGCAAGCAGAAGATTGAATGCTCATGAAAGTAGTCAGTAGTCCTTTGTCAGTAGACGAGACACAATAAGGAAACGGCATAGGACAAGCGGATGACTCAATGTTTATGACAGTAGACGGGATGTTTGTGCCAGAAAAAAATACAGGGTTAGCAGACTGAGACGGCAAATTATCAAAGGACTTATGAAAATTTGGTGATGCTAAATCTTTAAATCTTTAAATCAGTTACAATTCATGCATATTTGATGAAGTTAAGTTTGTAATGTCAATACAGCGTTGGAAATCTGCATTTTGGCAACTTGAAATTAAAATAACATAATGATTTTTTTTAATTAACGTATTTGTATAATTTATTAATGCATGTAGAGCTAATAACTATTGTGAATTTAAAGTTTTAATATTTCTATGGCTATGTGTCGAAATTGGCCAACAGAGAAGATAAGTATCGTTCAATTTCTACACCCCTGTATAATTGTTATGCGTCTTATAATTGAGAATAAACTCAAGCTTAAATGTTCATAACATTCATATTTAAAATTCTGGAAGCAAAGTGATCCCTCGGAAGCATTAATCACAACAAAATAACATAAGAATTGCAGACTCGGTTTGATTGAGTCTGTACATGAGGGATAATGAATGAGTGCAACATCCCTCACGCCCCCTAGCACCGGCTTGAGCGGTACTCAATTCTCAACACTTATAGTGTTGGCATCAATGATCCCGAAGGACCAGAAAATATAACAACACTGAAGTGAAGTACGGGGCAACTTTTTACGGCTGCCACACGGCACTTGACACCTGCTGTTGTATAGTACAAAATTCCGGAAGCAAAGTGATCCCTCGGAAGCATTAATCACAACAAAATAACATAAGAATTGCAGACTCGGTTTGATTGAGTCTGTACATGAGGGATAATGAATGAGTGCAACATCCCTCACGCCCCCTAGCACCGGCTTGAGCGGTACTCAATTCTCAACACTTATAGTGTTGGCATCAATGATCCCGAAGGACCAGAAAATATAACAACACTGAAGTGAAGTACGGGGCAACTTTTTACGGCTGCCACACGGCACTTGACACCTGCTGTTGTGAAGTACAAAATTCTGGAAGCAAAGTGATCCCTCGGAAGCATTAAGGTTTATTTGCATCGATAACCCATCAAAAATACAAAATGATGATAAAGTTATGTGCCTGAGTTATCGACCCTTCTTATGAGATTCTGTAATTGGCGTTTTTTTTGGATAATATTACGAGCAATGACATCTATAGACCGGGAATTTCTAGAAAAGGAAGAATGCCTCAAAGACCAAGAGCAAGTGATGACGTCACATAGAGTTCTGACATCGTAAAATTGATTTAAATCTAAATCAAGTAGAAAATGGTGTTTTATTGTTAATATAGTAGGAAAACTGAAGAAGGTGTCGAAATTACACCAGTGTCAACATTACCCGAAGTTACTCTAAATATAGTAAATTAGTTTACAAGAAAAATTTGAAAAAAAAAAAAAAAAAAAAATCAGAGAGAGAAAATAGTAGTGGGATTGAAGCAAGAGTTTTATTTTTTTTACTACAATCAACCATGTATCTTATATTGGTCAATCCCTTGAATAGTTTGCTACATAGAAGAAAATTGAAGGTAAGAAAAACTTGGACAGTATATATATGATATAAAAGTCACATGTTTTTCCCCTCTGCTTATCTTATAAATGTATCTATATTATATATATAAATTATAATAACTCGTGTGATGCTTTGTAAATTTTATGCCGTATAAAGTTAAATTTAACTATTTTAAAGCATGTTTCACCAAGAACTAAAAAAGTTATAATCCAGGTACAAGTTTGCGGACGGCAACGCTGCCAGGACTATAACAATACCTCTAATTTTTTTTTTTTTAAAAGTCGAGCTAAAAATGGTCTTAATAAGAAAATAAATCCGAAAACACAAATATCTTTTATTCAGTCATCAACACTGTACAGACATTTAAAGTGTTGTGTATGTGAGTGATATGTTCTGTGACAATTTGGATTATGACATTTATTATATTTTTTGACAATTTAATTCGTAACAATATGTTTAATGTTACTCACTGACGTACTCACTTTTGAAAAATTTTCATGTGGAGAAGTTTGCAATTTTTTGTGAAGAAAAAATTTGTACTTCTGCTCGATGCGCGAAAACATAAAAAAAAAAACAGACAAAAAAATAAATCAAGAAAAATTTAATACTGATTTTATAGCGAAGACATGTTTCATTTCAAGAGCTATCCTGGGGATTGTGAAGAAGGATATTTATGTTGCTATCAACAGCAAGATATCATAAAATGTAAAATTTGTTTGTACAGCGAGATAGCATTTACAACAAGAGCTGTCACAGGAGACAGCCAAGCTCGACTAATAAAATACTGGACGCAGTAAGGAGGACAAAACTATGAAAGAAAAATCAATTATGTATAATTATGTATTAAGTTATAGTAAAAAAATAATATTTGTTAACATAAATTCCAAGATCAAGGGGAATAATTCTAGAAATAGTCATGCTACAGTTATGGACCTTGTCACACAACATTTGAGTAATGATAAGAAATATATATTTGAAGTTTGAAGTAGATACCTTAAAAAGTAAAGAAGTTATTACATTTCTTAAAGAAAAACCTAAGTTCAAAGAGAGATAAATCTGTAAATATTGCTTCAAGAGTTATGAACATTGTCACATAAAATGTAATTGATGCAAAGGAATAAGTATTTGAAGTTTGAGGTAGATACCTTTAAAAATAAAAAAGTTATTAGAAAAAATAACATTTTTCTAGTAAAAAAAATATAAGTTTATGGGGAGATAATTCTTGCAATATTGGTGCTAGAGTTATGAACCTTGTCACATAAGATGTGGATGATGATAACGTAAATATATTTGAAGTATGAAGTTGATCCCTTTAGAAATAAATAAGTAACAGTAAAAAATAATATTTTTTATGGAAAATTCTAAGTTCAAAGGGAGATAAATCTGAAAATATTAGTGCTAGAGTTATGAACCTTGTCACATAAGATGGGGATGATGATAACGTAAATATATTTGAAGTATGAGGTTGATCCCTTAAGAAATAAAGAAGAAACAGTAAGAAATTGTATTTTTTGAGGAAAATTCTAAGTTCAAGGGGAGATAAATCTGAAAATATTGGTGCTAGAGTTATATGAACCTTGTCACATAAGATGGGGATGATGATAAGGTACATATATTTGAAGTATGAGGTTGATCCCTTAAGAAATAAAGAAGAAACAGTAAAAAATAGTATTTTTTAAGGAAAATTCTAAGTTCAAGGGGAGATAAATCTGAAAATATTGGTGCTAGAGTTATGAACCTTGTCACATAAGATGTGGTTGATGATAAGGAGCATATATTTGAAGTTTGAAGTTGATACCTTAAGAAATGACAAAGTTATAGTGAAAAATATTTTACTGCACCAAAACTTTAATCTAAAATCTGGACGCGGACGCCGACGCTGGGGCGAGTAGGACAGCTCTCCATATACTTTGTATAGTCGAGCTAAAAAGTGAAATACCTTTGTACATTTATATCATGTAACATGCTTGTTTAAATATTGAACTAGTTTTGGCTGGTGAATCAATAACTTAATCTTTAAGAACTGATTTTTTTTAAGTTTTCATATCAGCGGATAGACTAGATGGGAATTCACTTGTCAGATGAGAAACATTAAAATATAATAAACTTTGTGCATTTAAAATATCACAGCAAGGAGGATAAACCATAGTGAGTTTATAATCTTATTTTTAAAAGTAAATAAAACAAAACTTAAAGTTTATAATCTTATTTTTAAAAGTAAATAAAACAAAACTTTACAATATCTTATTTATGATCATTATAACATTGACCTTGACAATAACTTTCCTGTACCCCTCCCACATCTTTCCTAATTTTCAATGTTCTAGATGGGGTAGTGGTAAGCATAAAAGATTTTTCAATAATTAATATGAAAGCAGTTCCGTAGGTGATAAAATAATCTGGAATTATGCTTTCAACACATTACATGAAGTTTACATGAAAGTTTAAATCAGGTGTTAGTAACATATTGTGTTGGGCAGTTAGCACTCAAGATTAAAGAATCTGAATCAAATTTCTTCTTTATGCAAATTCACTGCTGGTCATAAATAACTGTATGCTATTTGTGTATTCCAGGTGAATAATGGCTGTTCCTGGTAAAAAGGCATCTCAGAAATTCTCATCTACACTATCTCAGGGTGGTGCTGAAGATTTTGACATTTATTGTGAAATATGTGACAGAGCTGATATCAGGCTTCCTGCCTTTGGTTACTGTTTAGATTGTGAGGAACACTTATGTCAATCTTGTTTCAACACTTACAGACGACCAAAACCACTACGCCATCACCAACTCTTAGATAAAGATCACATGCCACAAAAACAAAAACTCCATAGATCGTACAAATCTACTTCCAGTCCACAGACTGGTGATTTTATAAAGCCTTGTACTAAACACAGCAAGGAAGTGATTAAATTCTACTGTCATGACCATAATGCTCTTATATGCAGCGTTTGTGTGACCCTTGAACACACACCAACATCCTGTCATGTGGACTACATACCTGATATATCAGGGCAGATTTTAGACAGCAGGGAGTTCAAGGAAACTCTAAAAGATATTGATAAATTGACAAACAAATGCTCCAAGATTACAAGTGATCTGAAACAAAGAGTTGCTAAATCAACATCTTCTCTTAAAGATGCTATAGCAGAAATTGACAATTTCAGAAAAGAGATAAACAAGAGATTAGATGAACTAGAAAAGGAGGTTAAAGATACTGCTACAACACTCCAACAAGTCAACAACAAAAAGTTGAAAACAACAGAAACAACATGTGATGACATCAACAAATCACTTCAAGCATCAGCTGATACTCTGAAACATCTCAATTCAAACAAGAAAACTGACCAACTGTTTACTGAACTTAAGAGAGCTCAGCAACTGATTCAAGATAATAACAATATAATATCACAACTATCAACAATCAATGACATTGATGAGTACATCTTTGAACCAAATCAAGACATCAAAAAATTCTTTCAAGATCAGAAATCATTAGGAACATTGAGCAGTAAGAATAAGAAACAGCCAGCTGAACCAAAGAATCCAACTGCAGTAGCAATGAAATTGTCTACACCTAGAAACTTCAATGCTAAATCTTCCTCAGATAAAAGTGATTGCTGGATTACTGGTATAGCTGTTTCTCCTCAAAATCAAATATTTGCAGCAGATTTCAATAATGACTCTATTAAAATGATAGACATTAATAGTGGAACAATAAAACAATTAAAGCTTGACTCAGGACCATGGGATATCACCATTGTCTCCAGTGATTCACTTGCTGTTACATTACCAGACAGTAAAACAATACAGTTCATTTCCTTCTCCCCAGACTCACTCTCACTGAAGAACAAACTGAAGGTAGATGGAGAGTGTCATGGTATCAGTCATCATCAGGGAAAACTTGCAGTCACATTTGTAAATCCTGCTAAATTACAAATCATGGACTCAAAAGGTAATACTGAAGTTAAAGTTTATAAAGATTCCAAAGGGGACAAAATATTCATTTATCCTTGGTTTGTCACAACAAACAGTCATTCAATCTATGTATCTGACTGTTACAAACATGTAGTTCTACGATTTAACTGGCAGGGAGAGATGATAGGATCAGTAGGAATTATAGGACCAAGTGGTATAACACTGTTAGATGATGGGTCTCTCTTGGTGAATGGTTACAACAGTGATTGTATATATAGAGTAAGTGATGACTGTAAAGACAGTAAAACTATACTGGAGGATGTAGACAGTCCTTATGCTGCATGTTGGTGTGCTGATAATAGTATACTTTGTGTTAGTAGAAGAAACATTCGCAGTGATGACAGTGATAACAATTATATCAGATTGTATAAAATGATGTAAAAGACATGACAAGATATGATATGACACTAACAATTGTATAAGTGCATCATATCATCATCATTCATTCAATACATTACTATAAAAATTAGTGAAACATTATGATATCACATATAACTTTAGTTTTGTTGATCTATAAATGAACAGACATATTGTTACAGTGTTCCCATTTACGCACATATGTGCGTATTTATTTTACGCACAAATAACAAAATTCACGTACAGAAATTTAGGCAAGAGGGTAAAAATACGCACAGAAAGTCGGAATCTTAATCATGGATAATTCAAAAATTATTCTTTTGAGCAATTTTTCAAACAAAATTCACTTAAAGTGCATTGAAATTGATGAAATGTGAGAAAATCTCCGAATTCACAATGAAGTTTACAGACCCCCAACTGGGAATTATTGCCGTAAATTACAAATTTCAAATTTTTGTTTTACGATGCCTGTAAGAATAGCCAATGAAAAACAGTCTTAAAATATTAAAAAAATATTAATTCTAATATAATTGTAATCAGCAACAACTGAAATTGTAAATGTTTCTGCAGAAAACTGACGAATTTTCATTTGTCACATATTTTCGCGATGCCGATTTTGTTAATTAAAAACATCAACAAAAGGGAAGCTTTGTTTTGTTCAAAGGTGTGTAGTCACAATTTATATGCTGTTTATGAACTTAGATAACTTCAATAATGTTATATTAATTGAGATTGAGATATATGCCAGTAAGTGTTGGCAGAGACATAGATAACAGAGATAAGCAGCTCCTATATACTCCATTGAAATATCACTCATGCCTATAAAAAAGTGAAAAACTAGAGGATGCTTTTGTAAAAAAGCGCATGTCTCCCCCACTGCTGAGAATAACTGTGAATGGAAACAGGAATGGAAATGGAGATAAGATAATGTAAATACCCGGTAGTCACTTCAATGAAGGCTGTCTATGGATGGTTTCTATTGTTAAGGTTGTATGAGAAGATGCTTCCTAAACTGTTTGTTTTTAACCAGGTATTCAATTTTGAAAATCCTGGTTATTCAATCAGCGTATGGCAGGCGGGCGTCAAACGAAATTGCACTTGATGGTCATATCATATATAGTTTCACAAATGAAATTAAATGAAATTGTGTCTGCTCCATAATTCTTCAAACCTTTAAAGGATTTTGATGATACTTGAAACAAACGTTCATATTGTCAGATTTTTTTACACTATTGAAAGACAACTCAAATTAAAATGTATGTAAAATCATGATAACTGTAGTGTGTTGGGATGACTCCACTCGTTTTCACAATGAAGCCTCTCTGGTAGATACTTGAAACAAAAATTCACCACATCCAGAGAACGTGTAGAGTACATGTTTCGTATGGCTGGTTCCAAGGTCAAGGTCTACTTCTCTATAAGACCAATCATCCTATGAAGTTTGAGGGCTGTAGGTCAAAAGGAACTCTAGTTATCATCCGGAAACGAGAAATTGACCAACGGTCACTGTGACCTTGACCTTTGAACTACTGACCCCAAAAACAATAGGGATCATCTGCTCAATAAGACCAATCATCCTATGAAGTTTGAGGTCTGTAGGTCTAAAGGAACTCTAGTTATCATCCGGAAACGAGAAATTGACCAACGGTCAGTGTGACCTTGACTTTTGACCTACTGACCCCAAAAACAATAGGGATCATCAGCTCTATAAGACCAATCATCCTATGAAGTTTGAGGGCTGTAGGTCAAAAGGAACTCTAGTTATCATCCGGAAACGAGAAATTGACCAACGGCCACTGTGACCTTGACCTTTGAACTACTGACCCCAAAAACAATAGGGATCATCTGCTCAATAAGACCATTCATCCTATGAAGTTTGAGAGCTGTAGGTCAAAAGGAACTCTAGTTATCGTCCGGAAACGAAGAATGGACGGACGGACTGACGGACGGACAGACTGACGGACGGACAGGGCAAAAACAATATGTCTCCCCCCAGTTTGAGGGTTGTAGGTCAAAAGGAACTCTAGTTATCATCCGGAAATGAGAAATTGACCAACGGTCACTGTTACCTTGACCTTTGACCTACTGACCCCAAAAACAATAGGGATCATCTGCTCTATAAGACCAATCATCCTATGAAGTTTGAGGGCTGTAGGTCAAAAGGAACTCTAGTTATCATCCAGAAACGAGAAATTGACCAACGGTCACTGTGACCTTGACCTTTGAACTACTGACCCCAAAAACAATAGGGATCATCTGCTCAATAAGACCAATCATCCTATGAAGTTTGAGGGCTGTAGGTCAAAAGGAACTCTAGTTATCATCCAGAAACGAGAAATTGACCAACGGTCACTGTGACCTTGACCTTTGAACTACTGACCCCAAAAACAATAGGGATCATCTGCTCAATAAGACCAATCATCCTATGAAGTTTGAGGTCTGTAGGTCTAAAGGAACTCTAGTTATCATCCGGAAACGAGAAATTGACCAACGGTCACTGTGACCTTGACCTTTGAACTACTGACCCCAAAAACAATAGGGATCATCTGCTCAATAAGACCAATCATCCTATGAAGTTTGAGGTCTGTAGGTCTAAAGGAACTCTAGTTATCATCCGGAAACGAGAAATTGACCAACGGTCAGTGTGACCTTGACCTTTGACCTACTGACCCCAAAAACAATAGGGAACATCAGCTCTATAAGACCAATCATCCTATGAAGTTTGAGGGCTGTAGGTCAAAAGGAACTCTAGTTATCGTCCGGAAACGAAGAATGGACGGACGGACTGACGGACGGACGGACAGGGCAAAAACAATATGTCTCCCCCCAAGGTGGGGGAGACATAATTAGGTATTTTGTAGCACATAAAACTTTATGGATGTACATTTTATCCTTTAATATTATATACCATTTGAAAGGTAAATCTTTTATCTATAACTGTATGTTAAAATATTGGTAACTTTCCATGTCTTTCACTTAGAAAAACATAGCAGAACATACCTACTGAGACAGTTTTTTCGTAACATGAATTGTTTTGTAACAAAAATTAATAAGTAGTTCTCTTTAAAAATCGATAAATCATTTATTTAAATGGGAACTGTAAATGTTTTTACCTGCAGCCATAGACAAATGCATAAGCTTTCAGAAAATGTATTATTTTCCTGATTTTGATATCTGGTTAATAAGTTTTACTTGGTACAAGTTTTAAGTTTAGCAGGAACGCGTGATATTTTAACTGGTTAGGAAGTTGCCTATCTCTATTATCTATGTCTCTGGTGTTGGTCACAATTATTTTACCTAAGGGGGGGGGGGGGGGGGGAGGGGGGGCAGTGATGAAGTGAATCTTGAAGAAAACAGCATAATTGTCTGATGTATGATTTTGGAATTATCCTTAAATTTCATATAAATATTGTACAAATTTATGTACCCCCTGAATTTTTATTTTAACCCCAGTTTTCAAAGGTAAGGGGTAAAAATACTCCCAATGAAAAATAGAAGTGGGAACACTGTGTTATAGTGTAAAGTTGAAGATATGCTTCATTGATCAATTTTTTAGAATTTTATGTGATATAAAAGATAATTTTACTTTTTATTGATGACTTGCTACACAGCAGTTACATTTTACAAAAATAAAGATATTATATATAGAGTAACATCGGGTAATTTCGACACTTTTAGAGAATTTTGCTCACAAAAATTTAGGTGTCGATGTTACAAGATCCGATTTTAACCCGAATGTGAAACTCACATTCTTGGAATACTTCTTGATTATGTAAACGAACAAGAATGTCTTGTTTGATTTGTAATATCTCTCTTACGAACATAGATATGGTCGTATAATTTCAACAGGTTTCGTCTCATTTCGACATACTCCAATTTTTTTTTAAAAATGAAAGGAGAACATCATACATTTATTTGTTTGACTGTGCAATTAGATAAAGATTTATATATCATATTCAATCATTACATATAATTTCATTTTTTTGTTATAAGACAATAAAATGACATTCAACCATGGAGCTAAATATATCTGTGATTCAACTAATGAAAGAATTTGATGACATAATGTTCAAATATAATACGATTCATTTTCGGAGTAACAATCACGTTTCTTTTAAGTTCTGAATAGGTTCATAATTATATTCTCCACAGTACAGTACATGCAAGAATATATTTGATTGATAAGAACGTTACCTGTACATTGCTTCTGCAATGATTTGATGTTAATATACTGCGCTATTAAGTACAGACAGATATGCACAATCATTGACCATCAATTATCAAAACGGACACAAAATTCGCAAACAAAGGTGTATTTTTATCATTTACTCAAGAGGCAACTTAAAATTCATCGGTTTGCCTGTACATGAAAAATGCCATCTTTTTTGACATAATTAAAGTACACTTAATCCATTTGTCAGTGTCACAATCTTCATCATTCATTATTTGTGCATCCAGGACGCAGGCTACTTTGACCAAAGTAGTCGTCAGTGTCAGCATAGGTGGGAATTTCAGAATTTGATTCTGACGATGTCAGTAGACTTGCAAAACAGGACTAGCATACAACTCAGTGATTATGAAAGTACACTGAACTTTTGTCCAAAGACAATAGAGGACTATCAGACGACGTAGGGCAAGCAGAAGATTGAATGCTCATGAAAGTAGTCAGTAGTCCTTTGTCAGTAGACGAGACACAATAAGGAAACGGCATAGGACAAGCGGATGACTCAGTATTTATGACAGTAGACGGGATGTTTGTGCCAGAAATAAAAATACAGGGTTAGCAGACTGAGACAGAAAATTATCAAAGGACTTATGAAAATTTGGTGATGCTAAATCTTTAAATTAGTTACAATTCATGCATATTTGATGAAGTTAAGCTTGTAATGTCAATACAGCGTTGGAAATTATGAATAGCATTCTGCATTTTGGCAACTTGAAATTAAAATAACATGATGATTTTTTTTAATTAACGTATTTGTATAATTTATTAATGCATGTAGAGCTAATAACTATTGTGAATTTAAAGTTTTAATGTTTCTATGACTATGTGTCAAAATTGGCCAACAGAGAAGATAAGTATCGTTCAATTTCGACACCCCTGTATAATTGTTATGCGTCTTATAATTGAGAATAAACTCAAGCTTAAATGTTCATAACATTCATATTTAAGGTTTATTTGCATTGATAACCCATCCAAAAATACGAAATGATGATAAAGTTATGTGCCTGAGTTATCGACCCTTCTGATAATTGGCGTTTTTTTTTATAAGATTACGAGCAATGACATCCATAGACCGGAAATTTCTAGAAAAGGAAGAATGCCTCAAAGACCAAGAGCAAGTGATGACGTCACATATAGTTCTGACATCGTAAAATTGATTTAAAATCAAGTAGAAAATGGTGTTTTATTGTTAATACAGTAGGAAAACTGAAGAAGGTGTCGAAATTACACCAGTGTCGACATTACCCGAAGTTACTCTAAATATAGTAAATATGTTTACAAGAAAAAAAAAAAAAAATCAGAGAGAAAATAGTAGTGGGATTGAAGCAAGAGTTTTATTTTTTTACTATAATCAACCATGTATCTTATATTGATCAATCTCTTGAATAGTTTGCTACATATAAGAAAATTGAAGGTAAGAAAAACTTGGACAGTATATATATGATATAAAAGTCACATGTTTTTCCCCTCTGCTTATCTTATAAATATATCTATATTATATATATAAATTATAATAACCCGTGTGATGCTTTGTAATTTTTTATGCCATATAAAGTTAAATTTAACTATTTTAAAGCATGTTTCACCAAGAACTAAAAAAGTTAAGATCCACGTACAAGTTTGAGGACGGCAATGGCAATGGCAACGCAACGGCAGGACTATAACAATACCTTTACTTTTTTAAAAAAAAGTTGAGCTAAAAATGGTCTAAATAAGAAAATAAATCCGAACACCAATATCTTTTATTCAGTCATCAACACTGTAGTAGCGCCAAACACAACGTGCAAAATCCGACAACCGAGCTTGAAAAATATAGTGAAATAAAATAAACACACAAAAAAATTTATCAACGATTTCAAAATTTGTTATTCCCAAAATATTTCTGCAAACGATAGACTGAACGACAGTTTTTTATCAACCGACTTGAACAGCCTATAAAGAATGTTATTGGAAACTCTGAGACAAAAAAAGAATTTAATCACCAAGCATATAGTCTAACTATATGTATTTCTTGATGTGTTAGAATGGAAATAGATATCAATTCTTCATGCATTATAGTATAATAACGCACAGTATTTCGTTCATATGCTTTGTAATTATTCACTCAGGCCTATCGGCCTTCATGATTATATTTGTACGCATTTAAACTCAAACCGTGCATTATTCTACAACAATGCACTCAGAATTAATATCTTTTTCCAAACAAAAATAAAAATAATTTGATGATTTGTTGTTTGATATGTGAATTGATAGGTCTTAATCAAGGGTCAGGTGGAATTGTTACCTGCTTGCCAAAACACAGCCCACAAAATTGGGAGTATTTTATGATACCTTTTGCCTGCACTATGTGACTTTACTTGACATTTACCTTTCTCATACTTGGCACCCATTCAATAAGGAGATAATCTTCACTATCCTTTCCTTTAGTAAAGTTACATAAGTGGGTAATATCCACAGGTCCGCTATGTTTGTCCTTTACCTAAAATATTCAATTGTTGAATCCTGATCACAACATTTTAAAGACAAGAATATTACTTAAGGCAATGAGTGCTCCCTGAACCTGAACATTGTCAATTCATTTATGTACTTAGTATTTTCTCTGACTAACCTATATCACTGTGTGAAGATAAAGATAAAACCAAATTCTTTCAATACTTTATTCTCCAGCCAAGCATAATTAAATATTATAAATATTAAATATTATAAAGGGAGATAATTAAAGAAAACTAAGTAATGTAAAGTTACGGTTCTTTAACAAAGCACTACCTCTAACTAGTCTGTATAAATGTTTAAGTTTCAAAGAGATATCCTTGATAGTTTACAAGTTCTACACAGGACAAGCCTTAGGTACTTATGTAGCATTTTTAAGTATCATAAAGGGAGATCATTAAAAAAATTAAACAAGGTAGAATTATGGTTCTTGGACATTGCAATTTCTTTCCCTGGTCTTTATCATTCACATCAATCACATCCCTTCAATAAAGGAGAGCTAAAAACTATAGGAAAAATAAATTCTACATGAATTACCTGAAGTAATGCAATCTTGTTGTTAACTTTGACCATACAATATGGTATTACATCTTCTTGAATACATCTTTGATCATTTAAACAAAATCTGAAACATAATAAAATCAGAAGTAGCCAATATCCAAAAGTGACACAATTCATCATCAAAAACACTTAAATTTAAATAAAGAAATTTTAATTCTCCATGTAAAAAAAATTGTAAATGTGAAATCCTTTTCAACTGAAAATAATCTAGAACAAGAGGTCCATGATGGCCCTGAAATCGCTCACCTGAATATAAAACTCTCCATGACAAGGAACAAGTAATATTGTAATCTATAAACAATTTTGACCCAAGGGCCTTTATTTGAAGAAACTTGGTAGACACCTATAAGAAGATTTTTCATACTTAATATCTAAGCTCTAGCTCTTTGGGTTCTTTAAAAGAGATTTTTTTAAGTTTTTACAATATAAATATAAGGAAAATCAATAACCCTCGGGGTAGGGCCAATTTTGACCCCGCGGCTTTTATCTGAACAAACCTGGTGGACACACATAAGAAGATTTTTTTCATGCATAATATCTAAGCTCTAGCTCTTTGGGTTTTTTAAAAGAGGATTTTTTAAGTTTTTACTATTTACAGTTAAGGAAAATCAATGACACCCCCAAGGGCTACTTTTGAGCCTAGGGCTTCTATTTGAACACTCTTGGTAGACACCCATTAGAAGATGCTTCATGCTAAATATATAAGCTCCAGCTCTTTGGGTTTTTTAAAAGAAGATTTTTTAAGTTTTTACTATATACAATAGAGGGAAAATCAATGACCCCCTGGGAGGGCCAATTTTGAACCTAGGGCTTTTAATTGAACAAAATTGGTAGACACCCATTCTCAACATCTAAGCTCTAGCTCTTTGGGTTTTTTAAAAGAAGATTTTTTAAGTGTTTACTTATAATAGTCTACATATAAGGAAAATCAATGAGCCCCAAAGCGGGGCTAATTTTGACCCCAAGGCTTTTATTTGAACAAACTTGGTAGACACTCACAGGAAGATGTTTCATGCCAAATATCTCAGCTCAGTTCTTTGGGTTTTTAAAAGAAGATATCTTAAGTTTTTTCTTTTGGTTGCCATGGCAACCAGAGTGCTGCATGGAATTGAATTCTTTGGTGACCACCAAAGGAACATTCCTGTGAAGTTTGGATGTAATTTTGGACCAGAAAACAAAATGCTAGTTAAAGCTTGTGATAAGCAAATCTACTACATCTGATTAACTTTTCTGAAGCACAAAAATGAAAAAATATTTATTTCAGAAACTAGATCCTCACAAGAGTGAATCCGCATCAGAGAAGGTTTAAAGATTTTTAGTTGGCAACCTTAACCAATGAAACTGAATATTGTTATTGTCACAAAATACGTGAACCATAAATATTTCCTGTAACTGTCTTTATTCTATACTGTTTATACAGGATTTTTTTAAGTCATGTGTATATAGAAAATAATCTTACCTCAGGAATACCTGTACACCATATGTATCCCATGATGGTTCTCTGTAATATACATTATATTAATAGTTATTAAGATTTTTGACAGGTTATATGGCCCTATATAATTGTTTGTTTGGAAATAGAAGTTCAGGTTATAATTATTGCAAACAACCATTTATATACGGCCATATAACATGTAAGAAATATATTCATAAAAACAAATTTATAATACAGCAAGCATCTTTTCTTAGAGAAAAAAGTGAGTTTTCTTCATACAGTTGGCAGGTTTATAAAACTATATAAATGTCACGATTATCCAATAAAAAGCAACGTTACAAATGTGCAGTATTATATATGTTAAAATTACATACTGGTAACACTATACAGTAGCGATAAAATAACTGTATCATATACACTGATTTGCATTTTGTTCAGTTAATCAACCATTATAGATCATGCTATGGAAATGGAAAATTTCAAAATAAACGATTCCAATTTTTTACAAAACAACTTCTAAATCGATGATATGATATCTTAAAGGTAATAAGTTATGAATGATGATTAAGAATAAAATGTCGATGCAATTTCTTGGGTTTTCAACTACTTCAATGCTATTTTTTTGCTACTTGGCAAAGCTCCATCTTCAAGGACAGAACTTCAACAATTTAACAGAGTTTCAAAATTTCAATAACTCTCAATCCCTTTCTGCATGACTTTGATAAATCCAAAAATTTCTACAATGCTGTCTACAGTGCTAACTTACATATCTGTTTCAAAGTTTTAAATGGAAAAATATGCAGCTTAAAGCCTTCTGGTTAGCTCAATAGGTAGAGCTTTAGCCGGTAAATTAGCCAGGCGATCCTGGTTTGATTTCCGGACTGTGCAGCTCTATTTCATTATGATTGATCATGAAATACTTTCTACAGGCTTTCACACCATACCTCTGCTCTTGCATGTACAGAAGTTTCAGTTCCTTGCAAAAGTGAAGGCAATTAGTACTGGTAAACTGTTTGACAGCCTGGCCAAGGAAAGATGTGGTGGTTGAACTGTGCTCTGGTAAATTCAATGTGGCTTACTGCCGTCATCTGGAGTGAAACCTACCAACACCACCACCAATATGCAGCCTTTTTACTTTAGGCAACTGAGGCCCATTGTACAACTATACAGACCTCATGAACTGTTCTAATATGCAACTTTTATAGGCAACAAAAACCTGACATTTTGTATTTCACTTACTTTGAGTTCAGTATCCGATTGACAAGATCTGCTTCCAAACAGAAACAGTACTTGACACTTTTATAAAACTCTGATTTAGACTCGAGTTCATCACCACCTGCATGAAAATATCAATCTCAGTATTACTTTAAATTTGGCATTCAATATGTAATTATTACATGTAATGATTAATTACAACTGTTATTTAATTCTATTTAATATTATACTAGCTATAAGCTAGCAACAGACACCTGGTTAATGGAAGTTAAATGTTTTTATTTTCCCCCACTTTTTTTGTAATGTTCATTTCCGATGTAGGTGTACCACATAACTAAAAATTTTGCACTGTTACTAAGGCAACAGTAAAAATTTGTTCTTGTTTTCTACAAAACAAAATGGCTACTTTCTTTTCTTTGATTAAAAATTAAAATTTTCCACAGTTTACAATGTAGGGTCAAGCCTAAGTGACCATGACCATCTGAAAATTCAGTTGTATATATAATAACCTAGAATGCTTTTTGTTTTTAAATGAACAAATTTTGTTTTACAATATCCTTTGGTAGAAAAGTCGATGTAAACATTGAGGTCAGACATCAGGTTACAAAATCATTATGTCACAGCTGAGGGGAATGTTTATTAGGCAATTGCACAGATCAAAGGAAGGGTCCTAAAGAAGTTATCATTTCAAAAAAGTGAGTGGTACATAACTATTCGAAGCACTTAATTCAATGACAATAACAATTTGGTTATTCCCTAGATTTCAATTTTGTGTGGTCTGAACTGTCCATTTACTGTTGCCTGCTTAAATCTAACTGTTGAAATCCCTCATGTACTTTGTCCTAGATTTTTCTACCCTACGCAACATTTTACTAACATATTAAAATTACAACACTATAAGTTTTGAAATTTTTTTTTTTAAAATGAACGGTTTTGTGCAGATTGAAGGATGGACAAGTCATTTGAGATACTTAGTGTGGCAAGTTAAACAAACAAATGAAAACATTACTCTATCAAACATACATACTATTTTTACTATCAAGGGCTGTAAGCTTGATTGGTGTACACAAAACTTTGTGAAACTTCAGTGGCACCATCTTCACATTACTCTTGATAATAGCATAAGATCCTGGTGATTCTTAAATGATAGAAATGATTTTCATAAAATCCTTTGTTAAATTATTCACTTAAATTATTAAATAAACTATTTCCATTCTTAACAACATACTTTTCCATAAATGTTAATAATAGTGCTATACAATATGTACATGATCATGATGTACTGGTAATACCAGTAAAAAGGTAGGTAATAGATTTTTACTTCTTGTTTGATTTTTGTTGTTGTTTTTGCTTTTTCCCTGGTCTGATTTGAATCACACAATGACTGTTGACAGGTTTGAAAGACAAGTTGATGTAGTACTGTCATAGACAGTCTGTCACATGCAACTTTAAATTCTTGATAGTAATTAATAAAACTATACTAGATGAATATAGAATTGCAAATTACCTATATTCTTAGGCATTTAATTTCAGAAAAAAAGAAGGGTGTGAATTGGAACATCAATCAGAAAATCAATACATACTACTAGGAAAGTAGCATTGCTTGTCTCACTTACTTATGTTAAATATTAAATAATGTCTGTCTTAGCAGTGTTATTTGACTATTCAACACCTATTTATTGCTTTGATGACAAGATATTAACCACTGATACCTACATGTACAACTACTGATAAAGCTGGTATTTACGACATTTATCCTTAAATATTTATTATTAAAAATCCAAATATTTTAATTGGTATTTCAAGTATACTTTGTTTAGTTTAAATGGACATACTGGGCTTAATTCTATCAAACAGTACATTACTGAAAATGAAACTGTTTCTTTTTACCTATGCCACCAGGAACTAGTATATCATTTGAATGCTTCACAAACACATAAGAATTGCTTTTGTAGAGTTCAGCACTGTCAGAGGGGTTGCGTCCTGTTTTGAGAGGTTTGCTCACAACTATTTCACTGTCCTGATTGTCTGTAATAAAATAACTCATGCAACAACATATTTTTATGATCTATAAAATATACCAATGCAATAATGAATTTGGTATTTAACTTTAATTTTGAGTACATTCTTGGATAACAATGCATTGTAAGGAGTTGTAAAGTGATTTTTATCTGAAGTATATAAAGCTATAGATACATGTATTTCTTATGGTAACCTTAGAGTTTATTGAAATCATTGTGGGAATTTTAAAAAGAAATGTAAACACTACTAGACATGGCTTTAGAACACAAAGGCTGTTCGTAACACAAATACTGTTCATAGCAAACACCTGTTCTCATTTACGACACATGAAAAGAATCGACTAAGTACTGTTCAACACATAGAGGTTTTAATGTATCATCACAGAATATTACCTTTGAATGAACAAACTCCAATCTTTATGCCCATTGGTAAACCACTGAAATGATGTGTTTTACTGTCACATACCATCTTCAATTTCCATGATTTACCATCTACTGATGTAAACACCTGTAATTTTATCATCGAAAAGGAAAACAATCAAATGGCTGACATGTTTTTTTTTTGCAATAATTATAAATGTGTTATATAACAGGAACTAATAGTGCAATCGAAACAGGACTGATGTAATTTACATATTTTATACAGCAAGCAATGGGGACAATCCAAATATGACAATAAACTAGACTTTGATATTGGAAACAGTAGTGTGAAATTGACTTTTGAGTGATCTTGAGCCTTTGGTATGAAAACGTTATAACTACATACACTTGTGTTGTTATAGCAAATAACAATTATGCATTATTATTAAAATGACAAATTGTTTACCAGACACAACCATAAATGCTCTTTTATGAAATATTTGTGTGAAAAAAGAGTGCGCTTGACCTTTAACCTTAAAACTTGGATCTTGTATGCATGTAATGCCAAACAATTTTTTTTAAGTTCACAAAATGGTCATAATTTACTAAAAGTCAATATCACAGTTAAGGGCCTTTGATTGTGATCTTATGATTCCAGAGTTTCGAGAAAAATACATTCAGTTGTTTTGAAGATTGCATGCAAAATTTTACCACAATATTCACAAAGGGCAATACTTAAGTCAAAATCCTCTTGGAGTACCTCAGCTAAAAACTAGGTACCTTTCCTTTTTGAGCATAGATTTTGCTGCAAAACACATCAGTGTTTTTTTCTCATTTAATTAAAAAGAGACCTCAGCCTCTTGATTTTGGGAAGAATTCTCACTAAAATTGCTACTTTGGAAAGTTAAAAATCTGGTGTATTTCAGATTTTTAGGAAAACTGCATCATTTTAATGAAAATTTCAAATGGAAGGTGGCCTTTTAAATTAGGTGAAAAATCACTCCATGAACAAGGCAAAATATCTTAGGGAAGTTTACATGTAAATATACACTTACAGTCAGGTTTAATTCAAATAAAACTTATGCCAACTGAGTGAACTATCAGATACTTTTTATACTGCTCTAAAATTTTATTGAAAATGATGTAACAGGTCATTTAATGTGGGCAACTAAATGCTTTATTTCTTCATGAATGACTATAAATGGCAACAGATCTATCAAAGAGGATCTACAGCATGACAGACTGTCAATCAAAATATACACAATTTGTACCTTGTATCCATCGATAAGCTGCTGTTTCTCTGCTTGTTTCCAATAAACTCTACGTAAATAACCATTAACTGTTGAATAATGTGCCGTAGAAACATCTGTCGGAGGTCCTGGGCCAGATTCTAACAAAACAAAACAGACAAAAATGGAATGCTTTCATCTTTGCTTAAAATTATCATTATGCAAAATTGTATTAAAATAGCATAATACAATCAATACAATGATTTATGACCATTAACTGTGAGAGGTCGACGTTACAAAATAATAACACAGGAGAGTCAAGAAAATATGCATTGGAATTATTCAAAGTATGTCCCTTCTGAATGATATTTACAAAATAATTGCACAAATAACAATGGTTTAGCTAATAGATAAAAAATCCCTTCTTCAGTCATGTACAAGAAAATGATACAATCTAAAGGCCCTAGCAATGTTCTTTTTAACTGGTCACAGGAGCTGCTATTCCCATTGCCATTTCTATTACACAGGATTTTACGTAGGTCCATTTATCATTGTTTTTGAAGGTGAACATTTGAGCTTAGTTTGAAACAAATCCTTCAAGGAATATAGAATTTATAGTGTGGATATAAAATTATCTGACATTTGACCTTTGAAGGTGACCGTGCCCTCGAGGTAGAACCTGGTTAAAATGAATCACAACTTGGAGATATAGTCATCTTACAAGACCCTATAAGTTTTTTTGCATTTCTGTAACCATAGCAACCAAAGTTCTGTGTATAATGAAATTATTTGTACAACTATAAAGTATAATTATTAGGATGTTTTGCAAGAAACCTGCCTTGTTTCATCAACATTAGTCCAGAGAGATTACAGATAAGTTGCTGAAGCAAAATTAAGTAAGGATACATGGTGTGTGCATTACAATGAGTGATCCCAAATAGCTTACAAGTAGGTAGACAGACCTCAAATCAATATTTTTATTTGGTTTATTTAAGAAACAAACTGAAACCCATCCTGTTGGTATGACTTCAGTTCTGTGACCTACAGAAGCAATGGTCTCTGTAAATATGTCCACGATATGCTTCACATTTTGTAAAACCACATTTACCTTTAGTAATATGTTGATTCGACAATAACAGTAAATCTTCATGTAGAACACTTGTACCCTTCTTTTTCAATGATGATTTATAATTACTCATCTGGTCACAGACTGCTGTTGCACTTGGTAAACTGGACCGTCCCTGTTTTGCAGGTTTGGCCTAAAAAAAGGAATACTCAAATATAAATGATCTAAATTATCAATTATACAAACACTTTTTGTATAATTATAAACTAAATGAAAGGCAAATTCTTTGAAATTATTGTATTGAAATATTGATGCTTTTAAAACATATGAATTGCTTTAAATCATTCGACTTATTAAGCTCTTTAGTTTAGTAATCTAAAACTGTTAAAAAGATGGATGCTGCTACTTTTTTCTTTACTTTACAAGCATTTTGTTTCCTGATAAGACAATTATTAAACTCACATTTTGCCTACTCCTTCCCGTCTGCGTACTCCTATCAGTATCTTTAGTCAAAGACATCTTCTCAGCTGACATTATCTACAAAATTCAAATGTTATAGCATCTTAATACCAGATTATAAACAAAATATATCATTAAAGGTGAGAGATGCTACCAAAACCTGCAGGTTTGTCAATGAATAAGCAAAAGTGTAAAAATCTATATCGGCTGTCATTGATTATCGCGATATCTGTATATCATCGATATTCATCATCCGATACAATTGCGATACACATTTTCAAATATCGATACAAGCTAAAATTTATTTATTTCTGTAGTAAATGTATACCTCTCAATTTTGCCTAATAAGAGCAATCACTTTTTTCCAGTTTTCTACGCTTACTTGAACTTTAAACTCTGTTTTCAAATGTCAGTGACAAAAATAACAGAAAAAGAAACTTTATGATAGTTTGTAGTATTTGTAGTCGAATACAAGCATGCATAACACCATGATCCCAATTTATAACACATATTTAAATGTTTTTCATTGTATCTACTGTTAAAGTTGATATATTGATATATCGTCGATATTTGTCTCTCGATATATTGATACAAAATTGTCCATCAATGACAGCCCTACGGTATTTCTAGCACTGGTGATTTGACCTTGAGTTGACCTGAAGATTACAAAGTTAGAGGACAAACCAAGATATATACTAATATATCAAAGACATAAGTCTGAATGATGTTTGTACAAGCTAAAGTGTATTCATATTTTGTAAGCATTGATGATTGTGCCTTCCATACCCAGATTTTCATGCAATGTAACACATAAAAACTGTCAAAATTACAAAATAATGAATGCCATAGAATAAGACAATTTTTATCTTTAAACATCTATCCAAAAAATATCCCTATAAATCGCTTAAACTTTACTGCATTTTTTTCCATGAAATGTTAAATTCAAAATAATAAACAAGCTAAACAAACAGTTGTCTTATTTTCTGAATCATCAGAATGAAATGATTTGCTCTGTTATTTAATAATAAACTGGCCAAATAAAATTGGATATAGCCTGTTATTTATGTCTATAATATTATGTGGACATTGATGATGTCACTTGCAATACAAATTTTGATGTCACTTCATAAATTTTTTACTTAACTATTCACTATCTAATTTGTGCGGCACTGAAAACCAAATGGAAATAATAAATATTTCATCTCGATTTTAGACTTGCAAGGATACGAGATAAAATTGTAGAATTCAAAGCCTGATGTAGATAAAAATTAGATTTTAAGCTTTCGAAAAAAGTCTTGTTGAAATCGCAGGGCTTATTTTTTATATCCTGATATCAAAAATAATGATCAGGCAGCTCTGACTGGCTTATATCATATAACACTGCATATGGGCAGAAACTATGTTGCTTATTGATACTGTCACTAATTGGGATGTTATTTTCAGCAAAATTAACTTCCCCTTGACCTCTTGAAAGTGTGAAATAGGAATAAACAAACTTGCAGACTGTTGTGTATTTGCACTGCCATGCACAATCATACTATTTAAATCACTCAATACATTTTTTCAAGGTCTTTCAAATAGAATGAAAAACCCTGATTTTCCCTCTTGTGAGATATTGTGCAATTTTGAGTATGGGCAATAACTGTCTTCAAATGCTCAATATCTCTCATAGAAGTTTCCTTTTTTTTACCCAGAGCAAAAATATCTCAGAATCTAGCTTTGGCATGTCAAAATATTTTAACTATGGTACATAAATGAATGAGTACTTTATTCATAGGTGGGTACTCACTGTGTAGTATAGTCTCAATATTTCAACTGTCAGACCGACCAATTTTACAAACTGATATTTCATAGATGTCAGTCTTTACCTAAGGGTGACTATAGTATATATACAAACAAGAGGGCCAAGATGGCCCTAGATCGCTCACCTGACCTGTCAAACTCATCCGAACAATTACCTAGACAAGCGTTCTGACCAAGTTTCATGACAGGTGTGTCAAAAATGTGACCACTAGTGTTAACAAGGATTATCCATATTTGAGCAGTGTGACCTAGTTTTTGACCCCAGGTGACCCATATTCGAGCTTGACATTCGAGCAATTACCTAGACAAGCATCCTGACCAAGTTTGATGATAATTGAGTCAAAAATGTGACACTAGAGTGTTCACAAGGTTTTTCTATTTTTAGCTCCTGTGTCCTAGTTTTCCATCCGAGATAAATCATGTTCAAACTTATCCAAGCATCGACTAGACAAGCATTCTGACAAAGTTTGATGATGATTGGGTCAAAAATGTGACCACTAGACTGTTCGCAAGGTTTTTCTATTTTTAGCTCCTGTGACCTAGTTTTCCACCCGAGATGACCCATGTTCGAACTCTTCCAAACAATTGACTAAACAAGCATCCTGACAAGGTTTCTTAATAATTGGGTCAAAAATGTGACCACTAGAGTGTTCACAAGGTTTTCTATTTTTAGCTCCTGTGACCTAGTTTTTCATCAGAGATGACCCATGTTCGAACTCATCCAAGCAATTGACTAGACAAGCATTCTGACCAAGTTTGATGATGATTAGTTCAAAAATGTGACCACTAGAGTGTTCACAAGGTTTTTCTATTTATAGCTCCTCTGACCTAGATTTTCATCAGAGATGACCCATGTTCGAACTCATCCAAGCAATAATCTAAACAAGCATTCTGACAAAGGTTGATGATGATTGGGTCAAAAATGTGACCACAAAACTGTGACCACTAGAGTGTTCACAAGGTTTTTCTATTTTTAGCTCCTTTGACCTAGTTTTCCATCCGAAATGACCCAGTTTCAAACTCATCCGCGCAATTGACTAAACAAGCATCCTGACAAAGTTTGATGATGATTGAGTCATAATGGTGACCACTACAGGCTGTCCAGCACCTTCTAACAAAAAATTAGGGCAAATTTTAGGGCAATTTTAAAGAAATTTTAGGGCTAAAATAAGGAATTTTAGGGTAAATAAAGGAAATTTTAGGGTTAAAATTTGGAATTTTATAACTAAAAAATGGCCTCAAAAGACCATGATATGGGCTCAACTTCGTATATTTGACACAAAAGTAACTCACAAATAATGCCCTAGTTCGGTTATAGCACAGGTGTAACCAGTGTTCCATAGTCACCAGTGAAGAAATGGATTCACTGGTCAACTGCCTTTAAAGAGCTGAAAAACTGCATTAAAACATAACTAGAAAGAAAACATTTTCAAAGTCATAAGTATCCCTGAACAACCAATATTCAATTAGTTAAGCTACGATTAGCCAATGATAAATGGAAGGGGAAATTATGCTTTAGATTTATTTTAGCTATAAATGCATTTCTTATCAACATTTATTCATTTTAAGGTTGGTACATTTTCAACAAGTCTTGATCTTTCTTAAAAAAACAATAAAAACGATATGGCCCACTCAAGTCATTCCCAGGAATTCAAACAGCAGGGTATACACCTATGATGAATTTGTTCAAGATAAATCAGGCTACAAAAAATTGTAGAAAATTTCATAACAGTGTCAGTTTTTTCAATGATTTTCAACAGTTTTTTTCCAGATTTTAAAAAACTTACACCAGGGCTAGCACTGGCAAATTTTTTCTTTGAGCCACTTTTTTCGTGGCGACAATTGCCTGCCTGTATTTTATTTTCAAATCAGGCAATGGTACGGCATGAGATATTTAGAAAAACACTAGAACTCCGCGAGTCGGATGTGTCGCCTTGTGAACAATGTAGTTTAGGGGAAATGGCCAGAACAAAAATGAAATATGAAAAATAACAAAGGGCAATAACTAAAAAAATAATAAGTGCAGAGCAGCAGTTTCTGTACACTGCACTTCTTATCAATAAGATCTATCATTCTATGATGTTTCAAGTAAATAGCTTTCATACTTGAGGAGAAATGACCAGGACAAAAATAAAGTAAGAAAATCAACAAAGGGCAATAACTCAAAAATAAGAAATGCAGAGTATCAGTTCTTATGCACTGCACTTCTTTTTAATGAGATCTATCATCCTATGAAGTTTCAAGTCCATAACTTTTATACTTTTCGGAGAAATGGCCTGGACAAAAATTAAGTATGAAAATTAACAAAGGGCCATAACTCAAAAATTAAGAAATGCAGAGTACCGATTCTTGTGCACTGCACTTCTTAATAATGAGATCTATCATCCTATGAAGTTTCAAGTCCATAGCTTTTATACTTAAGGAGAAATGGCCCGGACAAAATTAAAGTATGAAAATAAACAAAGGGCAATAACTCAAAAAATAAGAAATGCAGAGTACCAGTTCTTGTGCACTGCACTTCTTATTAATGAGACCTATCATCCTATGAAGTTTCAAGTCCATGGCTTTTATACATTAGGAGAAATGGCCTGGACAAAAATAAAGTATGAAAATTAACAAAGGGCAATAACTCAAAAATTAGGAAGTGCAGAGTACTGGTTCTTGTGCACTGCACTTCTTAATAATGAGATCTATCATCCTATGAAGTTTCAAGTCCATAGCTTTTTTAGTTGAAGAGAAATGGCCCGGTCAAAATTAAAGTATGAAAATTAACAAAGGGCAATAACTCAAAAAATAAGAACTGCAGAGTACCAGTCCTTGTGCACTGCACTTCGGGTTATTAAAAGAAGCATGCATACCAAGTTTGAAGTCAATCAGACTTATAGTGACTGAGTTATGCTCCGGACAAGCTTTAGGGGACGCCGACAACGACGCAGACGCCGACACAGACGCCGCCGCCGACGAAAGTAACCCCTATATGTCACCTTTTCAAGGCGACACAATAAACTATATCCAACTTTATTTTGGTAGCTACATCATATTAACAAATCTTACATATATAATTTACAGTCAGTAATCATAAAAGAGCTTAGAGGTCAGTAATTATAACATTTGCCTTACGTTGGGCAGCAAGTAGTTACACTATATGTTATAACATATGTTCAGTACATGTTAATGTGTACAAAAAGGGCAGCTGAAGGTGTCACTTCTTAGTACGCTAATTGGGTAGCAAAATGGTAAAAGCATCCAATCTTTGAAGCCAGTTTAACTTACCCACTTTATAAT